TTTAGGTGAATAAATGTTAACTGAAAACTATAACATGGTTAAAAGCTTGATTTTGCATAAAAGTGTTGCTTTAATTGTGTGGCCAGAGAATAAAATACAATAAAATATGAGGCTTGGCCACTGGTTACTTTGGACAGAAAAAAAAATCATGCCCCCTGATATACAACATTTACAGATCCAATATTATTTTTAGATCTGTTTTAGTATCGTGAAATATCTCGGTACCTTTTATTTTTAATCTGACTAAAGTCAATGTTTGCAACCCACCATGACTCTGCATGAAAGCTTCTTCTACATCCTTTTTACTCCTCATGGTTTTCTAGAGACACCGCCTGCTTCCTGTTACAGTCTCTCGAAAGAAGTTGCCGCCAATGTGCATCTTGTTCCTGTGAGGATTGTTCCTGACTTCAATATTGAACTGTGTGTATTTATAGACATTCAACCTTCTGTTCAGATTACAGGGATTAACTCCTAATAAAAGGTAGACTTGCTGCACATGTGGGCAAGTGAAGTACAGGAATTCTATGTCAATTTGTGTCTAGTTTGGTTTATTTATAATTAACATTTAAAGATCAGCAGACAATTCAAAATGTCCTATGTTGTTGCTTTTAGTGAACTGAAAGGAATACAGGAAACATCAGAAACAACAACAACAAAAAAAAAAAAAAACCATATTACGCTATTTTCTGATCTATGAAAATGTTGTTTCCTCATCAGAAACATATGTCGAATTGTGTTTGGTTTCATTCACACATGTCTAACACATAAATCCTACAGCAAAGTTTTTCTCTAAAACAGAAAACAGTCTGTTCCACCATGTGATGTCATGTGGTAATACAGGAAGTGTCCCACTGTGTTTTTAAACTTGTACATCTTCACGAGAATCATTTGGATCATTTCAGTCAAAGAATTGCCAATATTTACTGAACTAGAAGTAAAAGGTAGTTTTTAATTTAACTACTACTTCATGACATCACAAGGTGGAACAGAGCATTTTGATCTTAGGAGCTGTGGACAGACTAATAAACCAAGATAACTCAAACATGTGTGAATGACACAAAACAGGTTTGTTTTTGAGGAGGTAACATGGCTTAAAGCTCACAAGAGTCGATTTTGTGTACTATAGGACCTTTAATTGTGAGGGAGTTGCTAGTTTCTTAATAAAACATGAACAAAGGCTTAATTCATAATGAACAAATATTTTAATAAGAATAATTTAGGCTTAGTAACTACTTAATTAATACCCTACAGCCTAACCCCAACCCTAACCCCCAAGTAGTTACAAAGCAGAATCATTCTTTAAGGTCCTATATTATGCAAAATTTACTGTTGTGTTGTTGTTTCATTCACACAGTAACCCATTGTGTCTGTCTACAACTTCAAAGCTCAAAATGCTATTTTCCACCTTGTGATGTCATGAAGTGGTAGTTTTCAAGTTATCAACTACCTTTTACCTCATGTACAGTAGAGATTAGCATTGTAGTGAAGGTGTGTGGACTTTAAAAACACAGAGTGTTTTCTGTTTGAGAGAAGAACCCAGCCTGTATCTCCAGGTCTCTTTTTGATAAGGATACAACATAATAACATATAGCAGAAAATAGCATAATATGGGCCCTTTAATAAACAATCTATTCATTACAAATGAAATATATGTTAATGCTTAATTAAGACTCAGAAAGGTGTAATTATTATAAAGGACAAACAAACAACGTATATATTGAGCAATAAAATATGACATTTTAAATTTTTATACTCAACAAATACTAGAAAAACAGTACAAAGAAAAACAGTATAAAGTATTGTGACTATCCAGACAGCCAAATCATTACCAGGCTTCACACAGGGATCAAACGAAGCTCTTGCAGATTTAACTCTGTCTTTAAATCATCGTTCATAAAACCCCTCTCTCCTGTCTCCTCTGACTCAGAGATGTCCCCCCAAAGGCTGCAGCAGCTCACACTATTTATCGCCTCATTTTCCCTAATACTTTAACGAGACTGTACACTGTGGAGTGGTCACTTATAGAGAAGAGCTTTTGAAAAAAACACCTCTTGTGACTGTCTGGGTTAATTGCTATAACACTGTGACAATCCTTTGAGGTTTGACAGATAGGTCCTTTGCAAAACAGCATTATTACAACTTATGTAGCTTTCTGAAGGAATTTTGTTGTGTGTTGTGATGGCAACATATTAGAAATTTAACTTCATGTTGTGATAACATTGCTGACAGTGAATAGAAATTAGGTTTCATTACTATAAACACTAATATTGTATTTCTTTTTACTGTAGTTTATGAAAAGATCCTTTTTCTGGACTCATCTCAACAGGCAAAATATTAACTATGATATGAACTAGGTCCTAGATCCTTATCAGGTCTTAATCAGAACTTAACCAACTTTTGAAGGTGTATTGTGTAACTTTTCTTTTGTCTGTTGCCTGCTTGACTCTATGGAGATGTCATTGCCATGCATGGATTGTTCTTCAGACATTGCATTATTCATTCAGTCTACACCTGTTGATGGGAAACTATGTACTTATATTTACTAAAAGCAGACCTAAATTGACACAAAACTGACTTTTAATGTTACAGTTATTTCCTCTTCCATTTACTAATCTGGTGTTGTATTTGGAGTGATATGTTCATGTTTGAGCAATCTTTAGTCACTTTTCAAGACACCATATTGCCCATCAAGATTTCACAACCACCGGCATCTGCCCACTGCTCTGTACTTACTTCGTTTCTCCAAAGTTATTTTCTTAATCGAAGATACATATAGGATTTGGCAGTGTTGCATTGTCATTTTGGTAAAAATGAAAAAAAAAAAGAATAATAAAAAAGTGTGCAGGTATCCATGTCAGGTGCCAACAGTTGCATGGCTCTTTATTGTGATGACGTTTACAGTTCAACTCCCATTGGACACCACAGTTTTCTAACACAGAGCAGTCTTGTTTCTTTTATTAAGTCGTTTTAGATTAATATTGAAGTTAAAATATATGCAAATTATAACATCATGATTCACTGGTGTCATAGATTATAACTATCTAGCACGCTCAAGTACAATATACCTTTAAATGTTTGTTTTATAGACATTTTCAGGTACAGTACTTTTACACTGTAAAATGATATGACTCACATAAGAGTAAGAGCATACTTACTTCAGTTGTGTTTTGGTCCTCTTCCCATGAGTAAGTGTACAAGTGACAAAAGCTTTACAGTCATAGTAAATGATAGTTGTCCTGTTTTGTTGTCTTTCTGTAGAAAATACATTATCTAGTGTTTGTCATCCCCTTTACATCAACCTCAAATTACAAATCAGATGTTATGTCCAGACAGCTACTCTTATTAAAACCCCTGTGATGTTAACTGTGTAATATTGTTCTACATGGATTTTTTATTAGACTTGGCTTTGTGACTGTGTTCTGTGTTCTGCCCCAATTACATATTTTATAGCACTCCTAGAATAAAGCTCTTTGACTCCAGTGGCAAAAACATGAAGTCTGAGGATAAATAGAGAGTCAGACAGAAATAGCACACACCTTTTGCAGTGGAGGAAGACTGTAATTATGTTAAGAGTCAGGGGGGATCATTATGTGGCTGATTATTCTAAAAGAGTCCCTCAAATTTAATGTATTCCCCACCTTCATAAATATGGCCCCACAGCTACCATCAGACAGCCCAGCTCACCTCTGTCTAGACTAATACAAAAAGCCATTCATTTGCTCATTATAGAACAAGATATGCAAGAAACAATGGGAGAAAGAGAGAGGTACTGCTGCCTACGTTTTTGTTTTACCACTACTGAAGATTTTTTTTTTGTCTTTCATTTTCAGGAATAAAGAAAGTACCAAGGGATGTTTGGTTTGGGGTTTGGTTGTTTATTTGTCTTTGTTGATGTGATTTTTTAAAGAAAAATCTGCTTTTGTCTTTTCAGCGCAAATGTTTAAGGGTTCTTTCACACTTGCACACACATCAGATCAAAGCTGGTACTAAACCTGGATCTAAACCAGAACTAGAGCAGGATCACATTAAGTCTACTTCAGGACTAAACTGGGATCAAACTAGGAACAAGCCAGGCATTTTCTTAATTAGATTTCAACCACCTAGTTAGCTGTGATTTTTGTGTATGTTTTTCTTGCTTTTCTTGGAACCAGTGTTTATTCTGGGGTTATCTTGTTGATTATTTCATTTAAGTTTTTGGCTGTCACATTTTTGAGGCAGGCAGCCAAGATCATTTTTGCAGAAATATTTATTCAAATGTCATACCCTGTTTCTGATAAGCCTCTGTTGAACCTGATTAAAAATGTTCGGTCACTGCAGTCCTCAATTGGAGAATATCCTAATATAGTTATGTTTGTTTAAATGCTTTACTCTGGGACAATTCCAGGCAAAGTATCTTCCCCCATTAGTTACACAGTGCACCCTTAAAGGTCCTATATTACGCCAAATTGACACTTGTGAGCTTCAAACCATGTTATAATGTTGTGACCTCATCAAAACATACCTGAAGCTTTGTTTCATTGCATTATTAGTCTTCTGCACCTCCAAAGCTCAAAATGCACTGTTTGGATTGGATTGGCAATTCCAAGGCTGAAATTATACAAATGATCCTAGTGAAGGTGTATGGAGTTTAAAAACACAGTGGAGCACTTTCTGTATTACCACATGGCATCACAAATTGGAGCAGAGTGTTTTCCATTTTGAGAGAAGAACTCAGCCTAAGTATGTAGCGTTTGTGTGTTGTGTGGATGAAACAAATCACAACTCCGGGTATGTTTGTGATGAGGAAACGACTTCAGTCAGAAAATAGCGTGATATGGGCCCTTTAACCACAGGCTATGATTTTCTTGTTTTTGTAACCTACTTCCTTGCTATTACCTTCACTAGCTAGTTTGATATTGATTTAAGATCAGATGTCCTCCTTCAGGCCTTAATTTTACTGACCACATTACAGTGCATGTGTCCTCTCAATTTCAACTGTGGCTGTTTCCCAGGGCAACACCATGACGACACTGCTGGACCTGAAGAGCAGTGTGCTTCGGCAGGTGCAGAGGAGCCAGTCCCTGAGGAGCAGACGGGACCCGCCCCCTCCCACCCCCAGCAGCCCCCCTCACACACTACCCTGAGCCTCTGTCACGCAGGTAAGCCTGGCCCCTTTCCACTAGACAGGTATACGCCCACAGAGTGAAAAATGAAAAACTAATTACATCTGGTTTTCATCACGCACACAGTAATCCTATATAACTAAGGTCCTATATAACACAAAATGGATTCTTGTGAGCTTTAAGCCATGTTATAATGCAATTACCTCATTAAAAACATACCTGGAGTTGTGTTTTGTTTCAAACACACATATTTGAGTAACCTTTTATTACTAGTCTGTCTACATCTCCAAAGCTCAAAATGCTTTGTTCCACCTTGATGTCATGACGTGGTAGTTTTCAAATTAACAGCTACCTTTTGTTCAGTAGAGATTGGCAATTCTGGGATGGTATATGGAATTGAAAAACACAGTGGAGCACTTCCTGTATTACCACATGATGGAACAAAGTGTTTTCTTCATGCGGGAATGAACCAAAACACAACTCCAGCTATGTTTTTAATGAGAACAGTATGGGCAAAAACTGCAGTATGGGCCCTTTAAATGTATTTCCATCGAGTAATGAAGTATTTTGATCTTTAGCTTTTATGTTATAATTCATTGCTGTCCTCTATATTGCTTGTATTGTGGGCTAGCTGAAGTGCACTATACATATAGCCATTCGAACATTGGGAGGAAATTGAATAATTAGTACACTGTGGTCTAGCGCAGTCTGCAAAGAGATAGTAAGTGCCTTAATGAAGTCTCCGTAGAACAGTGCCACTACTCATTAGATTGACATAAAAAATGATGACTACAGTGAAGAGCCCGAGCAAAGTGCAGTGTGCCTTAAAACATTTCTTAAGTTGAATGTACTAGATCGGTTGTGTTCACCAAGGTCACTCCAACCACACTACTGCAAACTCTGACTCAATCAAACACTATTTCAAATGCTACTTTCTTGGATCAAGTAATAGTGCACGTTTTGCTTTTTTGGAACTGTCAAAATGACCTAAAATCCTGACAGTGTTACAAAACCATAGATAGTATATATAAATGGGCATACCTTAGCTACACTGATGGTCACTGTGTTCCAAATAGGCTCAGTCAACTCTGGTTCCATTTGGCTTTACACTGAAAACTCACTCTCTGTAACTGCTGCTGTGAGTCTTGTCATTTTGGTCTTAAATTGTTCACATTAACCTGCACGTACTTTACCCAGTTCTGTTAAATTGCATTATATCTAAAATTTTCAAACCAAATCATTACCATGCTTCCAAAAGCACAGTTGAGTGGCTATTGTAAACTGCCTTTTTAGATGAGTATTCAGATTAATTTGAGTTTCTTTTTGTCATTTTTTTTTTTTTTTTTTTTTTCCTTGTCAAAGCTGTTCTCTGTTCTCTGCTCCTGCGAGGTAGCAACAAATGAGGTAGTGTAGGTTAAATCAGCCCTTGACTTATACCTTTGTCTTGTTTTGAAGCCAAAAGTAATAGTATGAACCTGGGGGTTTCTATAGCAACCTAAACAGGGCTGCTGATGCAAACATATACTCGCAATGACGACGCCGGCTATTTTTAACATGGAGGATAACCTCAGATGGGATCAGTTTCAGAGTTGAGATGATTGTGTTATGAGTCACCTCTTGACTCTAGCTTCAGTTTGCTGTTTAGATACGCCGATAAAGCCACTGGGTATTGATGAACTGTCTGATGCCTGTCCAGATATGTGTACAGAACTGTCAGCTTCATCAATATGAGATTCAGTGGTTCATTTTTTACATATGAGTCTTATTTAGGTCACAATATTAAATTTGAGTGATACAATTTCTGAGAAGGAACATCAAGATTTTATGATGTACAATTCACATACCACGACCAAACAGCATAGATGAAATATAGATGGTATGAATAGTTAAGCTCACTATAATGCCACCATATACCGAATAGCTCACATTTTTGACCACGTTTGCTCTGTGTGACGAGCTTGGTGAACTTTATTTTCTGAATAAAACATGAATGTAACATAAAGCCTGACTATTAAAGGGCCCATATTACATTATTCTCTGCTCTGTTTTATAATGTTGTTTCCTCATCAAAAACCTATCCAGAGCTGTGTTTTGTTTCTCAGACTTTAGGCTCAAACTAAAAAACACCTTGTGATGTCATGTGGTAATACAGAAAGTGTTCCACTGTGTTTTTAAACGCCATACACCTTCACTAGGATCATTTGAATAATTTTAGCCCTGGATTTTACAGAACAAAAGGTAAAGGATAACTGTTAACTTGAAAACTACCTCTTGATGACATCACAAGGTGGAATAGAGCATTTTGAGCATTGGAGATGTAGACGGCCTAATAATGAAGCATTACTCATTACTGAACATGTGTGAATGAAACAGAACACAACAGAAGATATGTTTTTGATGAGGTAACAACATTATGAGCTTAAAACTCACAAGAGTCAATTTTGTGTAATATAGGACCTTTAAGGACTACATTTCAGTCTATTTGGAGGTTAATTTGCTTCTATAATTCTCATTATTAATATGGATTTTTAAGATTCAACAATCACATGCATAATCATGTTTGTCGATGGATCTTGACCATTTTAATCACCACAAGGACCTCTATTTACTTTCAATGTTCTGTAGTGATTTGCATGTTGTTATTGTTGTTGTTGTTGTGTCCTTGGACAAGACACATCATCCACATAGCTATAAGAAAATCATAAATTAAATAAATCTGTTATAACTTTAACCTACCAATGTTCATATTGTTATCTCTGATCAGTTGAGTTTCTGATGTGTTTTATTATCACCATATTCACACCTTTTTCACTTCCTGTACTCCCCAGTGCTTCCTGCTGGGCTGTAGCCGTGGCTGTGACGCTCACTGTGCCCTTACCATTATAAGCTGCCAGTTAATCTTTCTTACTGAGAATTTGCAAATCAGAGCCAGTGTATTTTGGTAGCTCCCATCCCTGTCTTCAACCATCACTGGGGTCTTCAAGCAGGCAAACAAATAAGCAACAAGCAAACTTAAGTGTGTTTTTTTTTTTTCACACTTGTTTGAGTAACCCTTTGTTATTAGTCTGTCTACATCGTCAAAGCTCAAAATACTCTGTTCTACCTTGTGATTTCATGAAGCAGTAGTTTTCAAGTTAACAGCTACCTTTTACCTTTTGTTCAGTAGTGACTGGCAATTCCAGGTCTGAAATCATCCAAGTGAAGGTGTATGTAGTTTCAAAACACAGTGAAGCTCTTCCAGTATTACCACACAAGGTGGAAGAAAGTGTTTTGAGTTTGAGAGAAGAACTCGGGTATATTTTTTGATGAGAAACATTACAAACATAGATTTTAAAAATAGTGTTATTATGTGCCCTTTAAATCCTGATTCTTCTCACAGTAATCATAACACTAATATTTAATGAGGTCAGACCACCCGCTTATTTGAATGATTTTAATATAATTTGTTTAATATCTGAGTTGTCATCACCAAGAGTAGGCAGTATAGTCAGATGTGTTTCAGTATAGTACTGGGACTCTTCTTTGTCTTGTTAATGAATGGGACTCCTGTGTGTCGTTTATGTCATGACTTTTAATTAAGAGCAAAATAACTCTCTCTCATTTGCATACAATGATTAGAAACGCACTGCTGATGCATATTCAAACGTATTCTTTTGTGTTTTCATGTCAAATTTATGGAAATAAGCCCAGACAAACTTTGCTATAAATAATCAACAGTGTCATCTAGATACATTAAACAAACACGAACTAAAAGAAAAATTATACTTGATCATTACTGAGAATATTTTAAGACATTAAAAGACTGTTGCTTCAGACACCCTATGGGACAATACTTTTTATGCTTTTTGAGCCTTTATTGTTTGTTTTATTAATCATCACATTTAGTTAAGCTCATATTAGTTGTCAACATTAACTAAAAAAAATATGACACTATTTTCTGATCTATGTTATAATGTTCTTTCCTCATCAAAAACATACCTGGAGTTGTGTTTTGCTTCATTCACACGTTTTAACACATAAACCAATATTTAGGCTGAGTTCTTCTCTCAACCAGAAAACGCTCTGTTCCACCTTGTGATGTCAGATAATACAGGAAGTTCTCCACTGTGTTTTTAAACTCCATACACCTTCACTAGAATCATTTGGATAATTTCAGCCCTGGAATTGCCCATCTCTTCTGAAATAAAGCAAAGGTAAATTTGGAATATAGCATTTTGAGCTTTATTCTTTATTCAAACATGTGTGAATGAAAGAAAACACAACTCCGGGTATGTTTTTGATGAGGTAACAGCATTCTAACATGACTTAAAGCTCACAAGAGTCAATTTTGTGTAATATAGGACCTTTACACATGACAGAAGGTATTAAGCACATGTTTTCGTTTGGTGTAGATTTTCCAGTGTTAATGTATTCTGAATTACAGGATGAAAAGACTCACTCCTCTTCATTGCCACACGACATCCATGAAATGCTGGCCCTTGACCTCATCTAACATAAATGTCATTACTGTTCCCTGAGACCTCTTGGTTCTTATAATAATTACTGCACAGAGACATTATAATGAGATCTGACCATTCCACTTCTGCCACTCACTGCACATCCTGCTTTAAATGCAGTACTGCTCATTACTGGGAAACAAAAGTAGTTCGGTATATCCTTATATCTCCCTTGACTTTAGATGTTGTTTAGTGTCAAATTTGAATAACCTTTTATTTAGGTAGGGTTTATGGTTAAATTATAGTAGGCTATCCTTTCAAACTACATGAAAAAACTATATATATATATATATATATATATATATATATATATAATATACTCTACTCATAAAAAGTGGTACATGTGCAACATTTATGCTAATTGCTGGTCAACTTTGATCACTGGACAGCTATTGCTATTACAAAAATAACCACAATTGATCGGTCTTGAAACAAAAAATGATATGACTCTTATTAATGATTTTTTTTTTTTTTTTTATTATTCAAATAAATGTATAAGTGAAGACATGATTGGCTTAATCTTCATAGCCATTACTGACAGACGACTGGCTGTTAACTCTGTCAATTAAAAACAATAAGTCAACAAGTGTGGTCTGGAAATGTTCAGATTTTTATTTAAATTAAATTTCTATTAATTACTGAGCTCTAACATCTACCCTTGTAGTATGCAGTGTTTGTAATCTCTTTTGACGTTAGACTTCCCCATCACCTCCACTCTCCATCAATTAGTTCTGTTTAAACACTTACCAAATGAGTTCATGGCATTTTGCGTGTATTTATTGTGCTGTACAAGGAAATGAAAATCTAATTGCTGCATTTAAACGCATTTCAGCAAATAACTTTCAGGTAAAAAATAGACTTGTTCCCTAGCAACATCAAATCAGATTGTTATTACGACAACGTGAGCGCACTGAAAGCCGGAAAATACAAAGGTACAGACATAATCAGTTTGGAGATGCTGGATCATTGCGAGGTGGAGTTGTAATGGGTCGGACTTTATTTCTGCTCATGAACACACCGTTCCCCAAAGCCCCAAACAAAAGGCAGCAGACTGTCTGTACAAATCCGCAAGCTGTTTGAGTGACACATCGTGAGAAAACACAAGATGAGTGAAAATGTGGCAGGAAGACATGGAGAGATGTGAAGTTTGTACAATCAAATGGGAGCTTACTGGTCTAATTCGTACTCGTGACTCACACATGGGAGACAAAAAGCCATCCAAGTTACGTCAGAGGAGCTGGACGTCTCCAGTAACTATATTCACTGATTAAACAAAGGAACAGCAGTTTCAACAAGAATCCAGCTTTGCACTTGGAAATACAGTATAATGAGCCATAGCACAATATCAAAATTGAATAAAAAAAAATTCACAAAAATCGCGTAAGTTACAATATTTTTGGTTAGAATGTCTTAAAGTTTTACCCTGAAGTTTACACCTTTACAAACTGTTGTGAAATGCATAAGATTCTTGTATTAGTTTAGCACTACATATTTTAATCTTCTCTCAGATGTTAATACTCATATACATGTTTTAAAATATGCACTGTGAACTAAATACTGATTATAAATTATATTATGCATATGTAATTGCAATCGCAAACATCCACCACAAGGTTCTGGAAGTACATTTCACATTCATTTTGACCATAGACTTTCTGAAAAAAAAAATCACTGATCAAACAAGGGAACAGCAGTCTAAATATGAATCCAGCTTTGCACTTGGAAATACAGTGAACCTTAGGGCTGCACAATATATATCAAAACTGAATCAAGATTTTTACAAAAATCAACCAAATATTTTTGGTTAGAATGTCCTAATTGTTTACCCTGAAGTTTAAAGGTGCACTATGTAACTTTTTTGAGGGTCTGTCTGCTTGTTTACATTAGATGTTACCACATAGCTGGTTCTCCTCTGCCATGCCTTTAAACTTTTTAAATCTTTTGAATTTGTGATGCAAATTTTTTAAGTAAGCCCAGTTGTTTTTTGTTTAACTCATTTACATTATTTGAATTTTTTAAAAGTCTAAGTGAAAAATGAATGTAATTAACTTAATGTAACTTAATGACATTTCTAATGGATATAGATGGACCAGAATCATCTCATATTGGTAGGAAATGTCAGTAAATGTCAACATTGGACTGTTAAAAATCCTCTCCCCAAAAAACATTTAATTAAAATCTTAATCTTTTTTGACTTCCTTCCAAATCCATTTCTGTTCAGCCCTAAATGCAACAGTTTAATTTAATGGCTTTAATTGGCATCCACACAGTACAAGTCTATTCAATCAGACATCCATGGCCTTCTAAAACAATTAACAATGGAACACCTGTTGTGCTACGTCACTATCGTAATTTGTTTATACAGGAATGAGATTTCAGTAAAGAAAATAAACTCAAACAAACTTTAAAAGGCCCAAATGACTATATTTTCTCATCTTTGTTATAATGTTGTTTCCTCATCGTACCTGAACACATCTGGAATTGTGTTTTGTTTGATTCACACATGTTTAACACAGAAATCCTACATATTTAGGCTCAGTTCTTCTCTTAAACAGAACTTGTTTCCGCCTCGTGATGTCCTGAAGTGCTCCACTGTGTTTTCAAATTCCATGCACTTTCACTAGAATCAATCAGTCTCTATTAAACTAAATATAAAAGGTAGCTGTAAACTTGAAAACTACTGCTTCATGATATCACAAGGTGGAACAGAGCATTTTTGGGCTTTGTAAAAAGGGTTACTCAAACATGTATAAACGTAACAAAACACAACTCCAGACATCTTTTTGAGGAAGTAACTATGTTTTGACATGGCTAAAAGCTCACAGCTCAATTTTGCGTAATATAGGACCTTTAAAACTGCTTAAATCCAATGAGGCCAAAGACTGCAATAGCTTCTCTGTCTATTGACTTGATACATAAGTCTCATTGACATATTGTGGGCAGAGCTAACAAGCATAGCAACAGTATCTGTGCAAGACGCAGATCCAGCTTTCTTTTATTTGGCAAACCCTTTCCTCTGATCAAAGTAAAAAAATAAAAAAATAAAAAACTCTGCAAACACATTTCTGGAATAATATCCGAGAGACCAAATTGAATTCCTAAAATCATTTTGTTTGTGAAGAGATGTACGCTGTGGTATATTAGCTTGGCTCCGGTATTGTTAGAATCCTAACCGGTCTCCGCTGTGTGACCACCATTAGTCTTGGTCTGTACCATAGGGGTCTACAGTACCTCCCGCCCTACTGCAGAGTCTGGAGTGCATATTATTGGTATACCTGTCCCACTACTGTATACTGTCACTAATAAAGGGGGGTCTCCGTGGACTCTGCCCTCTTTTGCATAATGTGATGGGAGCTATGGCGCATGCAGGGGGCCAGTGGGGGGAGGGAGACAGACAGCTTGGCGGACCCCCGAGGTTCAGCTATGGGCCTGACCACTCATTTGCATACAGTCTGACAGAGATGCCCCACAGAGAGAGAGCGAGAGAGAGAGGTGGCGAAGGGGGCGTCTGTTAAAATGAGGATTGGGGCCGTGTTACATAATGATTCTATTTGAGGTTTTCATCTTGGCGCACTTAACTCAATTGGTTGGGGCATGTGATTTGTTTCTCAGAAGTTTTTCGTAAGATGCATTCTTGTTATGTATTTTGATGACGCCAAAAAATCAAAAATAACTGATGATACTGTTACTGTTTACCGTCTGGGTGAGGCCAATTTATTTTTTGTGGTTAGAGGCAGGAGACACTCAGAAAGAAGAAAATAAAAAGAAAACACTTTTTAGCATGGTCATTAGAATAAAAGATGGTTTTGTTGTTGCTTTCCACAAACTATGCACCATTTCTGGTAAAGGGTCTACAATCTGCTTGTCTCCAAGGAGGTTTATTATTAATTATTGATTTGCCTGGAATGTTGCTCAGTGTGGTATTAAATATATCTGTCTTGGGTTTATTAATTTACAGTTGTTTATGTTGCCAAAAATTACCTTGAAAAACATGCTTTCTTACTGTGTATGACCAGGCATCATCCCATATAAAGTAAAGTAAAGTGTTAAAGCGCTTTTATAATAAAGTTGGTATGGTACTGTAAGAGGGTCGGCTCTCCACAGATATGACCTGTAACTTAGCTTGATGGTGGCACTGGAGATAAATATGGAGATAAGTTTAACCTCATGCTGTGGAACATTCCAGATAAAGGCATAACAGAAACAAAGACATTTTCTAGCACTGAAGTCTTTTCAACTGACAAAGACTAATATCAGACCTTTATGACTGAAAGCTTAAATCTTTACTCTAACAAATACATTTCACATATTTGCACTGACAGGGAACACCTTAGGCACTCTGAAATAAATGTATTTAATCAACTGGTCAAAATCTTATTATTTCAAAGTCCTGTGTGGCCTAGCAAGGTTTTAAAAAGCAAATCAATCTCTTTTATCTTATTATCACACAAGTTAACGTCAATAGAAAAGGGTGTGTGGTGTATTTGGTGGAGAGGGGTGAGGAGGGGGGGTTTCCCGAGGTATCCATGCAGTTAGTCCCTTTGCTGTCTCCATGACAACTGGAGTCAACGGGAGGCCGGGGATTCACACACCTGAGACGAGAGAGAAAAGCCATCATGCTGAATACACCTGCTAATCAGAACAACACCATGCACAGTAAATTAGACCTTGTTTACGTTGCTAATAGAGAGTTGAAACTGTCATCTTCACTAGCAGATGGTTCCGTGACACGTCTGCAAACATAGAGTGTTGTCAAGCCATCCTCATATAGTTAATATTTTCTCAGCGTGATACTTGCTTCTTTGTATGCTATTTCTGGACCTGTTTTATCTGCTCTTCTTCCCTGGCAGGGTTTCAGAGGAGAGCGCTGAATTCTTTGAACACGTCAATGGCATCATGCAGAAACAGGAGAACATGCTGCGCTCTGCCCAGGCCGAGGTAACCCACCACACCAACTTCCACTCTCTGCCCGTCTGTTCCCCCTCTTGTATGCAGTTATGGCGAGGGTAAAGGCGGCCATGTTTGTCTGTGTGACGTGTTTTGACAGAAGGGTCAGGTTGCGCGGGTCGGGTTGTGCGGGGCGGTGGCAGGCGGCAGGCTCAGCTGTGACAAGCTGCTGTCCGCAGTTAACTTGGGCTCTCCCTGCTGCCAGTACTGTCTGCAGTGTACCAGACTGCAGTATTCATTTAGAGCTGATGATGATGCAAATAACAAGTAATAACCATAAAGTCATTTTGTGTTATGCGTATACAGTGTGCCGGACTTGTATGAGAGTCACTGCACTGCAACAAATTATATTAAAAGTGCACAAAATATTACTTGACCTGACTACAGTACACAATGTTTATTTAAAAGTCATATATTACACAAAGTTGACTCAAAATTAAAATTTAAGCCATGTTACAATGTTGTTACCTCATTAAAAACATACCCGGAGTTGTGATTTGTTTCATTCACACATGTTTGAGTGACCATTATTAGTCTGTGTACATCTCCAAAGCTTAAAATGCTCTGTTCCACCTTGTGATGTCATGAAGCGGTAGTTTTCAAGCTGACAGACACCTTTTAGGCTACCATTAGTTCAGAAGATATTGGCAATTCCAGGGATGAAATTATCTAAATGATTCTAGTGAAGGTGTGTGGAGCATGTCCTGTATTACCACGTGACATCACAAGGTAAAACAGAGTGTTTTCATTTAGAGAGAAGCCTAAAAATGCTGGGTTTTTGTGTTAAACATGTCTGAATGAAACAAAACACAACTCCAGGTATGTTTGTGATGAAACAACATTATAACATAGATAATAACAGTAATAAATATTAATAAGGGCTCTGTAATATTTTTAACATTTATGTTTATTTATAATGACAGAGTAGAAAAGGTCTCAGAGATAGCAGAGGTAGTTAGCTGGCCCCTGCTTTTGAAATCAAGATGTTTCAGCTTCCATCCAGAAACCTTTTTCAATTTGACGGTACTGGTCTGAGACACTGACATTTTTACTGCACCGTGAGAAGTCCTGCCCTCGAAGGAGTTTTATATTAAAACAGTCCTGCCTATTCTCATTATGGGACATTTTACCTCTATTGTAATTTGTCTGACTCACCTTCACCGCTGTTAAGTACCTCATTAGCATTTGATTGGCATAATCTTGTCCAAGGCGTGGGTATATTTGCGCAGACAGCTGCATAGATTTCAAAAACAGTGTCCAGATGATTACCTCATAAACCTTTTCAACATTGGACCACTCATGGACAGGTTACACGGCTCATTAAATAACAGCTGAATTTTTGTCTTTATTTGAGTAAAATATCATGTATATTTAACTGTGACTTCAGCGTGACAGTACACACACACATACAGTACACAAAGGCACACAGTTAAATCAATTTTTTTGAAAATGTATTTCAGAATTCATACCAGAAATCCTCATGTTTTTAATTTAAGGTAACTAGATTAGGTAATAATTCTTTTGTGCTAGCCCTCCGATTTAGTGATACGATTATCATCAGTGGCAGATATAAGACAATGCAGCCACAGCAACCTAATGATACTTTACAGTGACTTCATGCTGGAGGTGTTCTATATGTTATATATATGTATATGTATATATATTGACAGAATGTTCAACAGTTACCATGGAGACACATTACACATATTGGGAACCAAGCCAAAAAAGTTTAAAAAAAACTTGAGAAAAAATACAAAATGGATTTAAACTGCACGTCTTCAGGATCAATATGAGTGTCCATGGTCCTGTTTAGGTGTTTGATTTTCAACAAAAAGTGTAGAGACTAACTGAAAAACTATTGGCTAATGCTAGATAACTTGTGACTGTAATTTGATGTGTGAGAGACTTCTTGAACAGGACAAATCAGCTCATCTGTTCTTGTTAGATTGTGTTAAAATTAGTGCTGTCATGCGATTAAAAAAATTGAGAGATTAATTCATTATGATCTGTAATTAATTAATCTAATTAATCTCATTTTAATCTCACCTAAAAATTGCTGAGAAAAGCCTTCAATTTGAGGTATTTTCATTTAAATTCATTATTACATTATTGTGGCAGATCAAAAGACTGATATAGATTTAAAAAAGTGACTTTATAAAGTCATTTATTGTTTAACAAATCTCTCCAAATTGGCTGTTGAGCCCAAGTCTCCATGAATAAGAAACTGTTTGTTGTAAAGTAGCAAAGACGAGGAAATCTGAACATAATAACCTTTGTCTACTTAAAGACAATAAAAAGTCCAGTCTTTCCTTATCCATATTAAAAATATTATTGATAGAGAAATATATATGAGATCACTGGTTTTAGTCCTGGTTTAGACCTGGTTTAGACCTACTTTAGTCCTAGTTTAGTCCTGGAATGGATTAATCCTGGTTTTAGTCCTGGTGTTAGTCCTGGTGTTAGTCCTGGTGTTAGTTCTGGTGTTAGTTCTGGTGTTAGTTCTGGTTTAGTTCTGGTTTAGTTCTGGTTTAGTCCTGGTTTAGTCCTGGTTTAGTCCTGGTGTTAGTCCTGGTTTAGTTCTGGTTTAGTTTAGACCTGGTTTAGTCCTGGTTTAGTCCTGGTTTAGTCCTGGTTTAGTCCTGGTTTTAGTTCTGGTTTTAGTTCTGGTTTTAGTTCTGGTTTAGTCCTGGTTTAGTCCTGGTTTTAGTCTTGGTGTTAGTTCTGGTTTAGAGGCACACAGGAGGAAGCGCGGTTTACGCCGCGTACGCGAGAAAACACGATCCACACGCGGCTCACGGGAGGACAGCGGTGTCCGCGCAGTGTCTACGGAAGGAAACGTGGTCCGCGCGTTCTCAGGTTAATAACGATGATGAAGGTGTGTGTTTGTTTGTGTGTTTGTGTTTGTGTTTGTTTGTGTTTGTGTGCGTGTCCCCTCATGTGGCAGGTCACTATAGGACAGTAGTGCAGAGATCATGAGCCTATGCAGGTTGTTTTCAGGCGATATTATATTTGTTATTTTCTTTTATATTTCACATCGGGAGAATAATTTCCAAGACACGAATGTGTTTTTACCTGTGCACTGCTGCCTCTGTTCTACTGGCTCTTCGACCTCGTCCATTGTGCGACTGACGCCGCCAACGTTAACATGACGTTTACATCGCTCTTACTGCGCGTGTTTTGTGTGAGTTTCCGGCAATGAGTGGAATTACCGAAATAAAAAAATGTATAAATGTGTTTTGTGTGTGTGTGTGTGTGTGTGTGTGTTGTTGTCCCAACAACACATAAAAACAGGTTTTATAATAAAGAAACTACAGAAACACTAAAGTTAGAGATTAAAAATGAGATTAACGCGATTAAAAAACATAACGCGCTAAATATGACTGTAATTAATTAATCGCAATTAACGCGATAATTTGACACCCCTAGTTAAAATAACATCAGACTGTGTAAAAATAAAGTCCGATAATTTCTAACAGAGCAGTGCTTCCAGTTAGCATCATGGCCCCAGGGAATGTTGATGATATCAGCTGCAAAGTATCAATAGCATACATTACATTTCCTTTAGCGATAATATTGTGTCCCTCAGCCATCCACCCACTGTCACCGCAGATGGCACCAGGCAGGGCATCTGGCATAAAAATCTGGTCTGGTTCTGAGCATAAAAGGAGAAGGTAATTTCCTGTCTGGTGTGAGCGGAACAATTATTCTGAACCCTTTTTGTGACTTGAAGTATTTTCTGTGGTTTGAGTGCCCCTCGTGCTAAATGCCACAGAATAAGTCTAGAGTAGTTTCTTTGTGCAGGTTTCACTTATTGATTGTTACCTTCAGTACATTGTGTAAGCCCAGTTTCTCACCTCGCCTGACCTTTAGAGCTTCGGAGTTTGTATTTATTTTTATAAATTTTGTGGTGATTTTTGTCCAGAGTCAGAGAGGCCCATGCACAGTGCCTCCACCTCAGGAACAAGTGGATCAGGCCTTCATCCCCGAGCGCATCAACCGGACAGAGGTGATTTTCTAACATTATTTGAATCGATGACATTACAATAGACAAATTACAGATCATGAGAGTGCACTGTAATTGAATAAGAGTTTAAGAATGGGTTGTGACTCAAGCTGAGACTTCACCTCATTTGACTTTCATGTAGATATCTTAAAATTTTCACATTACTGCTGAGAGTATCTGTATCTGCCCAATCGAAAGAGGGAAAAAATGGAAAATGGAAAATATTTGCTTCAAAACATATTGGTAAGTTAGGCCTGTCACAATAAGTTCTATATCAATCAATATATCAAAGCTGAAACTATGTATTTTGAGTCTCAATATTCATCATGTGTACATTTTATTTTATTATTGTTGTTATTTTTGTTGTAATATGATAAGATCTCAGGGTTGAATAAGATACTGCTACAACTAATTATTGGTTAATTCTGCTGTTTATTTGTTGCAGCTCAGGCCTTTGAATGATACTGTCTGTTTAAAAAGTGTCTTTTAGTATTTAGCACTTTAGTATTTTTAGTATTTAGCAGTATTTCTTTGTAGTAATATATCATTCTTTGAAATGTGTTATCCTGACAGGCCTAGCTGGAGTAAAATTATTCATTAAATTAAATGCGTAAAAAACTGTTTCTTTAAATTATGCCATTAAAATCTAATTACCAGCTCAAATTATCAGCTGTTCTGACAACGCATCATACAGTGACTCAAATGACTTTTTCTTTCAAGTTTGTAAGAGCTAATATGTTTTCTAATGAGATGAAGAAGACAGTGTTTATTGGTCAGATGTTTTCCAGTGTTCCATTTTTGCGATATATTTTCTGGGGGGAAATATGTGATTAAAAAAAATAAATAAAATTTATATATTATGAAAACTGACTGATGAGCTTTAAACTACGTTATAATGTTGTTACCTCATCAAAAACGTACCTGGAATTTGCTTTTTAGACTTAGACTTAGACAAACTTTATTGATCCCCAAGGGAACTTATTTGGACCATTTTATTTGTATACAGTGTTTTATCTGTCATTCACACATGTTTGAGTAACCTTTTATTATTAGTCTGTCTACATCTCTCAAGCTCAAAATGCTCTGTTCCACCTGTTGATGTCATGAAGTGGTAGTTTTCATGTTAATAGCTTCCTTTTACTATTGTTCAGCAGAGATGATCAATTCTGGGGTAGAAATTATCCAGATGATTCTAGTGAAGGTGTATAGAGTTTAAAAACACAGAAGATCACTTTCTGCATTGTCACATGACATCAAAAGGTGGAAAAGAGTATTTTCTGTTTGAGAAATATGCCGGAATATGTCAGGTTTGTGTGTTAAACATGTGTGAATAAAACAAAACACAACTTCAGGTATGTTTGTGATGAGGAAACAACAATATAACATAGACAAGAAAATATGAGTCCATAATATCAGTCAATAATAATGGCTAATGTTGTTAATGTTAATGTGAAGCAAGTAATTTCTTCCATCCATGTGGTAACAAAAGTTGTCTTGTCTCAGCTGGACCTACTTTACGAGGAGGCGGTGTACACAGTGGTGAATCGAGTGGGCGTGGCACCTCCTGAGCATGTGAAAAGTGATGAGGAGCTGTTTGCGTATCTACTGAAGGTACAGTCTGATCCACTGGCTCTGCTCTGACACCGTCACTGTGTGTTATTAGACTGTTGTTTGTTTTCCTGACACTGTGAGGATTAAACACCAGAGTCACACTTGCCATATTAATATTAAGCTGTGTTACATCTGTTTACTGCAGCCTCTATCCTGCTGTTTGGAAACACCACAGAAACATCCTAAGCCCATTTCTCCTAATAGACATGTTTTGCACTGGGTTTGTACATTTACATAAAAGTATAATTCTAATATTGACTATATTTTTAGGTGTTTGATATGGGAGAAGAGGAGCATGAGATCATTCTACAGAAAGTCCAAGAGTCTAAGGTCAGATTCATAATCAATTGTACTTGTAATACATGTCATTATCAGGGGTCTCCAAACTATTTCCAAGTAGTTAGCCAAGGGATTTCTGAGTTATACGTCTTGTGCTGAATAACTCATATTGGATTAATTACCGTTGTCTTTCTAACTGTACCCCATCCGAGATTTGCTGTGGTTCTTATATATACTCACCTTCTTGCAACCGCTCTCTGGCATTTTTTGTTTTGTAAGACGTTGCTCACCCAAAGAAAAAAGCTGAAGACCCCTGCTCTGTATGAAAAAAAAACATGAACTCATCAAACTGCATGACTCAACCAAGAACTAAACTGCACAGACATGTGTTAACAATAATTCACTAATGCTGGACACACTTAAAGATCACCAAAGAATTTTAATTAAAACAAAATGTTGGTTTTCCAATTATTAAATTTGATAATGTCATAAACCCAGATGGGGGCAAGAGCCAGTTTTTCTGTTGATAACATTTCACTTTGCCATGAAATACCTAAAAATAAAATGCAAAATGTATTAACTTGTTAACCTGTTCATTTCTAATATTGAGTAGACTCACAAACTCATTGTATATTGTAAAGGACCCATATTACGCTATTTTCTGACCTATTTTATAATTATTATGTGGTTTCCTCATCAAAAACATGCCTGGAGTTGTGTTTTGTTTCATTCACACATGTTCAGCACACAACTGGACACACATTTCTTGAATTTCTAATCTTTACTGAAAAAATGCAAAGGGTGTAAAAGAATTTAAGTAATTTATCTTCCACGTACATCTCAGTTTAACACTGACACAAATGATATATTTACACCATGATCTTCCCTTGACATACCATTGTCATACCACTATGTAAATTGTGGCATATTGCTGTCTAACCGGTATTTACTGGCCTTCATAGTCTCACTAAATGCTGACTAACTGGAGCCTACTGGCCTTCAGAGTCTTAAAACTTGCTTTATAAACCTCCTCCTCCAGAAGCATAGTAAAGGGGCTTGAACACTCAAAGATCATACTGTGTACTCTTTTGAACATACTATGTTGACTTTTCTAGTCCCCATATTATTGATGATAAATAAACTTCTCCTGTGTAAGACATCCAGTTGGTCTCCAGCCTTTTACTTCCACCCTTTCTTGGACAAGCTGAAAACTTCGACAACAAAGGGTAGTAGCTATTAACTTGAAAACTACCTCTACTTGACATCACAAGGTTGAACAAAGCTTTGGAGATGTAGACAGACTAATAATAAAGGATTACTTAACATATGTGAATGAAACAGAACACAACTCCAGGTATGTTTTTGAGGAGGCAGCAACATTATCACATGGCTAAAAGCTCACAAGAGTCAATTTAGTGTAGTATAGGACCTTCAAAACAATCTGCATGAATTTTAGCCCCTCATTACTATAAAACTATATTAAATCATATTGGCTTATAGAATGCTCTGTTGCCATTTGAAACCCAGCAATTTTAAACAGTGGTTATGTAATATGTTGTGCCATGGTAAAATAATATTTGGCATAACAGTGAAAGATTAGCTGAAGACTGGCTGTTTGTTGGCATTTAATAGCCAAATCTTCACAAATAAGCCACTTAAGGAGTACAGTTTGGGCAGGATAAACGGGTTTCTTTTTGCTCTAGTTTCCCACTGTGTTATTAACTGTTGTTTTGAGAAGTACTTTTGTATGGGGAGCAAAAGGTTATTTTGCAGAGTGGGCACATAGCAGTATTGTGTGTTAAATGTTCTTGTGAGGGGCTTGGCACAGCTGGGGTCTGAGTGCGGCTCTGACAGTTTCTTCAGTGTCTGCTGCAGTAATAAAGTCAATGAGAAGCCTGCAGAGCTACAATCGCCAAAATCATTTCTTCAAATTTTGAGCTACAAACACACTCAAGTCCAAATTTGAACCAAAATGTTATTTGTATCTTACAAGTCACATTCCTCTGTATGCTTTATTTATTTAGGAAGTAGGTAGACTCTTTAGTAGAAATTCTATGTACGTGGATATTATGTACTAATTAAATGTATGTTTAGCAGTAAGCACTATGTTACAACAGCAGCAAAATAAAGAGGAGAAAATGTACACTACACTTTGTGGTAGTAGTAGTAGTGGGAGTGGTAGTGGTGGAAGTAGATGAAAGAATATTTTGGTACCAGTTACTGTTACACTGTCTTACTATGGCTAAAATGAAATCCTAAGTCTCAGTTGTGTGTTGTCAGTTGTGTTTTGCCACCTCTATTTAAATAAACCCATTAAACCTGTTTGCGATATTTCCTCAATCTCTATTCTCTAACCGTTGTTATTTTTTTTCACCTTATTACAGCGTGCCAGCTTTTCTTTGCGAGTATCTGTGCTGAAAGCAAAGAATCTCATGGCCAAGGACGCCAATGGTGAGGGATTTAAAGTGCTCAATAAATCTATCCAATACTAAGTAAAATGTCGCTACCTGAAAGACAACAAATATAGCACTCCAGTTTATTGGAAATCTTTCAGCTGGTAAAAAACTTTCACAATAGTCAAATAACAGCCCAAGCGTGTTTTTCCAGGTTATAGTGACCCCTATTGCATGCTGGGAATTCTTGAGGGTCAAAGCCCACATGACATGGAGGAGAAGAAAGAGAGAAAGTTCAGCTTCAGAAAAAGGAAGGAGAAACTGGAGAAGCGTTTAAGCACAAAAGAGGCATTACCAGCACGATGTATTCAGGTGACCGAAGTAAAACCGGAAACTCTCAACCCTGTGTGGGACGAGCACTTTGTTTTGTAAGTATAAAGTCTTAAATCTATGTATTCATTGGTTTTAGCTTCCTGTTATGAGACATTTTGAGTTTTAAATGTGCTATACCTGAGTATAGAGTAAAAAAAAAACTAACATAAATTTCATTTTAAATGATTTGCAGTGGTCCAGTTGTTCCTCATGTGCCTTATGCATTCAGAGCATTATAATTATTCACCATGATGAGTTCATAAGCGCTTTTCAGAACTTTCAGAGACCAGAGCGGAGTTGCTGCCACTTGCCTTCTAACAAAAACTAGCATGCCAACCACATACTTCCTGATTATTAGACAATTAAACACTACATTAGATGCAGCCAGCACACAGTGGACATTTTATACACCATATCTGTACAGAGGCAAGACAAATTGCTCAAATCCATGAAAAATGTCAGGTACAGGCCCTTTAATAAATAGCATTTAATCATTCTGAAACCCACTCTGAAAATCATGGATAAATGTAAAACGTAATGGAGACATTCATAATTAATTTACTATTTCTAATTGTTAAATGTTAAATGGGGTTAATTCTTTCTAGGGACAAAATAAACCTCAAAATAGTTATGTTCTGTTAACCTTGTCTCTGCCTCTGTCATTTCAAATAATATAGCTGTCTGATGTCAGTGTGTTTTTAAATAGTAATTGAAAACTATCTTATTTTTCTGTTTTTAGTGAAATTGATGATGTCCACAATGATCTCCTACATCTGGACATATGGTACGATGACTGTGCTAAACGCCAACCACCAAATGTCTTCAATACCAGTATAATACATTCCTGTTTTTTTGCTTCGTTATTGTTTTGATAATTATTTTTAGAAACTAGGTCTGCCTCTCCACAAATCTGACCTATAACTTGGTGGTGCAATCTGCTTGTCTCCATAGCAAAGTGTAACACACTGTAGAACATGCTATACAAAGCAATAACATCACTGTGAAGATAAGCAGATGACAGACCCTACTTCACAAAAGTTACATAGTGCACATTTAATACTCCTACATTACAGAGAATTTTAGCCAGGTTAGAATGTTGTTACCTCATCAAAACATACCTGGAGTGTTTTGTTTCATTCAGACATGTTAATGCAACCCTTTATTATTAGTCTATCTACATCTCAAAAGCTTGAAATGCTCAGTTTCACATTACAATGTCATGAAGCAGTAGTGTTCAAGTTAACAGTTACCTTTTACCTTTAGTTCAGTAGAAATTGGCAATTCATGGGCTGAAATGATTCTAATGATATTAGTAAAGGTATATGGTGTTTAAAAACACAGTGGAGCACTTCTTGTATTACCACATGACATCACAAGATGGAACAAAATGTTTTCTGTTTGAGGGAAGAACTAAGGGAAGTCTAAATACCATATGCAGGATTTATGTGTGAAACAAAACACAACTCCAGGTATTTGTGTGATGAGGAAACAACATTGTAACCTAGATCAGAAAATAGCATAATATGGACTCTTTAAAATAATCTATTTTTAGTCTGATAAAATGTGTGATAGCAATATTATGGGATCCATCTGATAGCAAAAATCTTTATTGGTTTTATTCTAATAGTCTTTTGTGTTCAGGGATCATGACGACGATGTGTCTGTGGCTGAAGCGTGTAAAAAGCTGAATGAAATCAGTGGTCTCCGGGGAATGGGCAGGTATGTCAGTCTAATCAGTTTTAATTATAATTTTATGAAATGTTCTTAAATGTCCGAAGCGTTTATTAAATTGACCTCTTGTCTTTCTTGGAGTTTCTCATTAGTGATTTATTGCCTTAGTCTGTTTGAGAGGGAGAGTAGAGTGAGTCATACCCCTGAGAATGAAGCCGAATAAAAACACTGTCCACTTGTTTGTGGAGTTCACCTGACACAAAGTCCTTTCACCTGACTGAGAGATGGTCTTATGGGAGTCTATTAGCAATAAAGTAATGTACACACAGGACAGCAGCTGAGCCAGGGTGAGGGAGGGTCAGTGAAAACAAAGATGAAGCAAAGACTAGTTACTGCAATGGAAATGGGCCTTCAGTACTATTAGAAGTAGAGAAGTGACCACATGTTCCTATTTCACTCACTTTTGAGCTTTATGTCCCACATCCCAGTAGAAGTATCCAAAACTACTGACCAGAGGTGGGGACTTGCAAGTCATTACTTGGACTCGAGTCAGACTTGAGTCACTATTTTTAAGACTTGAGACTTGACTTGATTAATGGACTAAGACTTGGGACTTGACTTGGACTTGAAGGTCAGTGACTTGAGAAGACTGCTTCTCCCAAAAAAAAAAAAATAAAATAAAATAAAATATGTGTTTCTCACCTTCCACGGTGGTAGGTCTCTCTCACCCTCATTCAGCTCGGGTCCTCTACCAGAGGCCTGGGAGCTTGAGAGTTCTGCGCAGTATCTTCGCTGTTCCCAGTACTGCACTTTTCTGGACTGAGATGTCCATTGTTTTTTCCGGTATCTGTTGAAGCCACTCTTCCAGTTTTGGGGGTTACAGCCCCGAGTGCTCCGATCACCACAGGCACCACTGATGCCTTTACTTTCCAGGCTCTCTCCAGCTCTTCCTTGAGCCCCTGGTATTTCTCTAGCTTCTCGTGTTCCTTTTTCCTGATATTACCATCACTTGGTATTGCGATGTCAACCACCACAGCTCTGCTCTGTTTCTTATCCACCACCACTATGTCTGGTTGGTTCGCCATCACCATTCTGTCAGTCTGTATCTGGAAGTCCCACAGGATCTTGGCTCGGTCATTCTCCACAACCTTTGGAGGTGTTTCCCACCTTGATCCTGGGGTTTCCAGTCCGTACTCTGCACAGATGTTTCTGTACACTATGCCCGCCACTTGGTTATGTCGCTCCATGTATGCTTTCCCTCCCAGCATCTTACACCCTGCAGTTATGTGCTGGACTGTCTCAGGAGCCTCAGTTATGCTCCGGTGGTACGCCCCATGTAGGGGTTTGTCCTGCCATGATGGTCCCTCCAGCACCTCTTCCTCTGGACCCCACTGTCTGAGACATTCTCTGAGCACCTCATCTGCCGGGGCCTTGTCCTTGATGTACTCAAGGAGCTTGGATGTTTCATCCTGGACAGTGGTTCCCACACTCACTAGTCCTCGGCCCCCTTCCTTCCGGCCTGCGTACAGTCTCAGGGTGCTGGATTTGGGATGGAACCCTCCATGCATGGTCAGGAGCTTTCGTGTCTTAACATCTGTGGTCTGTATCTCCTCCTTTGGCCAGCTTACAATCCCTGCAGGGTATCTGATCACTGGCAGGGCGTAGCTGTTGATTGCCTGCACCTTGTTCTTGCCATTGAGCTGGCTTCTAAGGACTTGCCTCACTCTTTGCAGGTATTTGGCCGTAGCCGCTTTCCTTGTTGCCTCTTCGAGGTTGCCATTTGCTTGTGGGATACCAAGGTACTTGTAACTGTCCTCAACGTCTGCTATTGTTCCCTCTGGGAGTGACACCCCCTCTGTGTGGACTACCTTCCCTCTCTTTGTCACCATCCTGCTACATTTCTCAAGCCCGAATGACATCCCAATGTCTGTACTGTAGATCCTTGTGGTGTGGATCAGTGAGTCGATGTCTCGCTCACTCTTAGCGTACAGCTTGATGTCATCCATGTAGAGGAGGTGACTGATGGTGGCCCCGTTTCTGAGTCGGTATCCATAGCCAGTGCGGTCGATTATTTGGCTGAGAGGGTTCAGGCCTATGCAGAACAGTAGTGGGGACAGTGAGTCTCCTTGGTATATGCCACATTTGATGGACACATGTGCAAGTGGCTTCCCCTTGGCTTCAAGGGTGGTTTTCCACAACCATATTGATATTGTACCATTGATATTGTACAGCTTCAAGCACTCAATGATCCATGTGTGTGGCATTGAGTCATAGGCTTTCTTGTAATCAATCCAGGCAGTGCGGGTTCTGCAGTCGCGGGCGACTGTTCGGTCAACCAGGAGTTGGTGTTTGGCTCCCCTGGTGTTTTTGCCGATACCCTTCTGTGCTGCGCTCATGTATTGATTCATGTGCCCACTTATCTTAGCCGCAATGATGCCTGACATGAGCTTCCATGTTGTGGAGAGACAGGTTATTGGCCGATAGTTGGATGGGACTGCACCCTTTGAAGGATCCTTTAGGATCAGGATCGTACGCCCTTGGGTTAACCATTCAGGGTGAGTCCCATCCCTTAGCAGCTGGTTCATTTGCCAGGTGCTCGTGGAGGGCAGTGAGCTTCTTTAGCCAGTACGCATGGATCATGTCAGGGCCCCGGTGCGGTCCAGTTTTTCATACCTGAGACTCACTGTGATGGTGACTGGATTCTGTTCAGGGAGGTTGCTGTGGTCTTCACTGCCACTGTGCATCTGCTCCTCTCCCATATGCCTTTCCAGTACCTCTCAGTCTCCAGCCTTGGTGGGTATGCTCTGGTACCCTGCCACTGAGCGTACACTTTCGCCGGTTGTGTTGCGAACAGCCAGTTTATTCGTCTGGCCTCGTTATCTCGTGTGTACCTCTTTAGGCGGCTGGCCAAGGCCTTTGTTTGGCAGTTTCGAGTGCTTCAGGTATGGGCAACTGGTTGTACCTCTTGGGCACTTGCTTTTTCATTGCACCTTTCTGGGCCTCTGACAGTTGGCTCACTTCTCTCCGCACCTCCTTGATTTTAGCCTCTAACCGTCTTTGCCATGGTGGGTATTGTATCGCATGGCTCCCATGGTTGCTCTTATAGCCCAACACATCTAGGATCACTGCTGCTGAAGTGTATATCAGCTCATTGGTTTCAGTGTTGTGGTAGGGATCACTGTCAGTGCTGCATTCACATTCAGATGGTACTTCACTTAGCCTCTGTAACTGGCATCGGGGTTGCCTTGTGTTCATTGCCGGGCATCGGGCCATCTTATCTTTTCAGGTCAGTCTTATCTTTATCTTTATTTATTTATTTATTTATTTATATATATATATATATATATATATAAAATATAATCTTTTTAGAAAATACTTTACACTTCCATTTCAGTGCAAACTACATGACAAAATAACAAGTAATAAGATCTTGTCAAGACATTTAAAAAGGAAAAATTAGCATTTCTACAACTCTACTATATAATTACTCATGTATAAATATACCGTTACTTTTTAAGTACAATTTTGCTTAGAAGTCATATACATTACATATAGAAATCTAAAGACTTGAAATTACTTGAAGCTCAAAGCAGATGACTTGGACTTGACTTGGACTTGAGGTGAAAGAGTTGAGACTTACTTGAGACTTGCAAAACAACAACAATGATCCCAGCTCTGCTACTGACACTTTGCAGCTGGTGTCGTCAACATTTCCTGGGAGTGTGAAGCTAACTGAAAGCACTACTCTTTCTAACAGATCGTCTCAAGTAGTAATCAAGTTAGACTTAAACTGAGCTTTATTAACACAATCTGGTCAGAAAGACCTGACTTGGGTGGAACTACAACAAGTGAGATGATTTGCACGCTTAATACATCTCTCACACATAAAATTACATTCGCAAGCAAGCTGGTATTAGTCAACAGTTTTTCGGTTAGTCACTTTCTCCTTTTTTGTTGGAAGTCAAACACCTACAGGACCATGAGCACTCATATTCATCAAAACCTCCTGAGAATTAGGTGTGTAAATTCATTGTGTAGGCAATTTTTCCTGAGTTTTCAGATTGATCTTAAAACTTTTGGCTGTATTTGGCTAATGAATGTATTGTTTCACCATGGCAACTGCTGAACATTCCACCAAAAGAGATACATGTAGAACACTCTCAGTGATGTCACTGCAAAGTATCAATTGATCTGTCCGTGTTTTATCCACCATACAGTATGTTCCACTTATCCAGATTTAAAGGGACAGCTCAGAATTTTGGACATAGGACCTCATTTCCATCTCCAGAGTGTTGGAGATGTGTGGAGACAGTTTTTTAAATATTCCACCCAGTCCTTGTATTTGTAGAGGTCGCTGGTGCTAGGCTAGTGCATGTCAATGGCCATAGTTATCCTGCCACTAAAAACAGTCTTACCCACTCCACAAAACACCCGAAGCAAATCTATTATTATGCCAGATTATCTGTGTAAATGTCTGTGTTGATATAATAATGTTTGAAATAAAACTAACCTTGCATCGCATGAATCGTCACATGTTGAGGGACTATTTTCTCAGCAGAAGCGGAATTTTACTTTGCCGGTAAGGTAGGTGCTAGGTGATATCAATCCGCTGCTGCCAAGCTTTCTGTCAGGAAGTACAACACAATGCTGCTGCTGCTGCTCAGACATAAATCCTTCAAATGCAAGGTTGGTTTTACTTCTAAAATTATTCTATCAACACAGACATTCACATCTACAGTCTGGCGTAATAAGAGATTTGTTTCGGGTGCTTTATGGAGTGGGTAAGACTGTTTTAGTGGCAGGCTAATTATGACCGTTGACATGCACTAGCCTAGCACCAGCGACCTCTGCAAATACAAGGACTGAATGAAATATTTTTTTAAAAGTGTCTCCACACGTCTCCAACACTCAAGGAAATGAGGTCCTATGTCCAAAATTCGGGACTGTCCCTTTAAGATCAGTGTTATACCTGTCAGCATTAAGGAGTTGAATATATTGTCATTTGTTTAGCCAATACAGAGAACACTAGAAACGTGAAAGAGGTTTGAATGAAAAAAAAAAAAAAAAAAGAAATTATTTGAAAATGTAGAGTCCTTAAGTTTGTGGCATTGTAATATTTATTATGCCTCACTATTAGAATTATCATTGAGACACAAATATCTCTTTCTAAGCGCGGAAGTGTTCTCCGCTGAAGTATTCATTTTATTTGTGTACTTTTTAACAACCCGTAACTCCCTGTTCACTGCCTTATCTTTAAATATTTATTGCTAGCACGACTCTGCAAAAACATCATAGAGATAAAATTGGACAGGAAGTAGTGACGCTAACTGTGAGTCTGCCAGGCGCTATTGAGCACAGAACCTATTACATGCTCTTTTCACAATTTTATTATTACTGTTGTAGCATTAGTAGTTATACATAATAATCACCATAATATTCAGGAAATAGTCCATTTCAAGTAATTATTGTTATGTTATTTATTATATTCACTAGCAAACTGATCATTCTCAGTGTTAGTATTATTGTTTTTGCAGTTAGAACACTTGAGTTGAGAGCAGATTTTGAATAGGCTACTATTTACCACCTGTGGCTGTGACTATTAGAGATGGAATATTGTCTAATTCAGCAAGTAATAAGAAGGAAGATGCTACATATATCATTTGAGTTGCTTTTTTGACAGGTATTTTAAGCAGATAGCAAAATCAGTGCGCGCCAACGGCTCTGCTTCTTCAGGATCTGAGGAGAATGCAGATGACTTTCTCGGTTGCATCAACATCCCTTTGAATGTGAGTGAAAAATATACTCTGTGAAGTGCCAAACTGTGATGGGGATTTGAAAACATGTCTGAATAACCTGTCTGCACTAAATAAAAGATGTTTTTTTTATATATATATTTGTTATGTTGAGTAGGAGATGCCAGTGTCCGGATATGACACCTGGTTCAAACTGGAGCCGCGTTCGAGTGCATCCAAAGTTCAGGGAGAGTGTCATCTGATTTTAAAGCTCTTCACCAGTCAGGTCAGAAAAAGCTGTACAAACACCTTTATTCTCACTGCATGTCTGCTTCACTGAATGCAACAAATATGATGGATTTTTCTTCTATAGAGAGACACCACTCTGTCCAAGAAGGACACCAACGTCTCCATTCACAGGAAGCTACTGAGTCAGATTGTCGAGTATGAACATGCTCACATCAAGGTCTGTTACTTCAGACTCTATTTAAACTTTTTTGTAATATTACACCAAACTTTCTGTACAATGTGCCATGCAGCAATGGATTTTTTAATTGATTAAAACAATCTTGTTTAGCGTGAACCATACAACTGGACTGGGCAAGTGAGTCCTCCAGCCTGGACAGTCCTGACTCACCATGCAGTGCAGACGGACCTGTCCCCGGTGCAACAGGCCATTATGTGAGTGCTGATCAGCACAGCATCAATCTGATAGTGTGGTTATGGTTTACGTGAAGCTCTGTGTTTGTTTGTGTGCATGTGTGTGTGTGTGTGTGTATGTGTGTGTGTCTCGGTCTGTGTGTGTGTGTCTGTGTCTGTGTGAGCAGCCGCTGGCAGTGCTACAGTGCCCATCACCGCACTCAGAGGGTGTGTTACTCCCTGCTGCTCCGCCTCCTGAGGAGCATCGATGCAGAGTGGGATGCCCCCACTGTGCGCGGAGACCTGGTAGGTCCTACACATCTGGACATGCTCTTTACCCCCATCATCAGGAAGCACCTGTCATTAGCCCTCCCAGACATTCATGATGGTTTTTGGTTCATCCAAAAATGTGCTGAGCCAGGTGCTCTCTGTCCAGGAGAGGCAGCTGTCAGACAGCTTCAGGCTGTACACTGAGCACTGCCTGTGTCTGATGAAGAATATGAGGCAGGTGTTCCCCTGCTCCAGTGCCGCCGCCATCACACGCTACGAGCTCATGCTCAGGTAAAGTCCTCATTCTCACTGCTTCAGCCTCACTGCTCCCACTGCTCACAGGGAGAAGACAGAGAACCCTCTCATCTCATCACCATGGCTCAGCGATTAAAGGCAAACTATGGAGCTTTTAATCAGAAATCCAATTAATCCACACCCCAAACAAATGCATGAATCCACACATATGGCTCAGTTAAATACCCTACTACAGTTTTATTTGGAGCTCACACTTGGTGTTGTGGTTGTATACTGTTAGAAAGAAGGTGTTATTTGTACATCTCGAGCTGAGTTTGAGAGCGGGTACACACGGACATGCACCTCTCACCTCCTACCACTTTAATATTCCCAACAAATTATGTAAAGCCAGACATGAGGCTGGCTCAAAGTACTTTCACTGTATGGACATTTTATAGGCCTAGCAAAGTATATGATACTTTCTATTCAGGCCAGCTGCAGTGACCCCTACAAGTCCTCACACTTTTCACTGTCTCTTAAGCACTCCCAAGTACCATAAAACTCACATTACTCCTTCAACAATAATCTACTAAACAGACAATAATGAACGCTATCAGTTTCAATCATGACTTTTTCGATATTAAAGAAATTGACTTTTTGAAGTAGACTTAGTGCTGTTTTGTCACTGTGAAAGATGCCACATGTCTGCCAACGCACTCCAAAGATCATAAAAGATTTGTCACAGAAAATAAGATTACAAATTGGATACCAAGAAGTGTGTGGGAAGCTGCTGAAGTTAATTTAAGTAGCCTGTTTCTAATAAATGTCACGAAGCAAAATTAGCTAATTATCAAAGTTCATGCGTCAGACTAATTTATATGATGGTGTTTTTTCTCCCCTGTGAGTTAAGTCTGCCTTGCTATATCTCCTTACACTCTGAAGAACACCTATGTAATAATTAGTATAATGAAGGTACATTCATTTGTATATGCATGTTAATATTCCTTTTGTAATTGTGGATACCAGGGGGATTGGTTATATGCAGAACATGCGGGCCTTTAAGACTGTATGCCCTCTTCGAAATGAGCTCCATCTAGACATCACCACAGCAATTAAGGTAACCTCAAGTTTGATACTCTAGCTTTTTGTTATAATAAAAAATGTACATTAAAGGTGGTCTATGTAACTTTGATATACAAGACTGAAGCCTACAGGTAAAGGCCAGGAGGAAGGAGGTGAGAAGGACAGGAATTTTAAACTATAAAGCAAATAATCTCTAAACTGATACACACTGAAAAAAAGAAACCCTAGGGTGGTGTAAACAAACAGTATTTCCCAAGTATTTGATTATTCTTCAGTTCATTAAAGAGTCATTAGATAGTCCTCACAGCACTATAATACAATTTAATACACCCACTATGTTTCTTTAGTACTATTAAGTGTCTGTACTCCTCTGTCTTCTTACCTGGCACGGCTGGGGTTAAGATCAACAGGAAAAGAGCAAAAACTGGACTAATTTTAGCACTAGTCTGAGCATGGACCTCTTCTAATTTATGTCATTATTCTATCTGCAGAAAGGAACAGCTGAATGGTATGAGAGCCTAATCATGAGATACAAACCAGAAGATGGGGTGAGTATATTCAAATACATCACCTTACACAGCTCACCATTTTAGGAGGATGTTATATGAGCAAGCTTTTATTGATTTTCCATAATAAGACTAAAAAGTTGAAGCCAAACTTGACTGAGCATTGTGCTGTTATGAAAAACAAAATGAGTGCATCAGTGAGTCAAGAGGGTGATCCATTGTTCCATTATATTCCTCCCCTCTTTGCTCTTGTAGCTAAATGAAAACAACAGGATCATGTAGAGTGGGTTAATACGAACATTTTGAGTCTAAAATGACAAGTCTCACAGCAGCAGTTACAGAGAGAGGGGAAACAATTTTTCAATAGAAAGTCAATTGGAAACAGTCGATGGAGCCGGAAGCGCAAAAGATGTTATCATTATCTGACTTGTAAAAACAGAACAGAAATGAAAGAGTTACTCTAAAACTCATTGTCCTTTGAATTAAAATCTACTAATTAACTGACACAGAATTACCTAGTGTTTTTTCTAATCAGATTTATCATGGATATATAAAAACACAACAATAATCAGTTATTATTCTATTTTTTTCTTTTTTATTCTGATAATAAAAATGGACAAACTGTTTTTGAACAGACACTGGAGGAGCAGTTGAAGAAGTTGATCCAAGTTGTAGATGCAGTGTGTGTAGATGTACAAAGAGCACAGAATATCTACAACAAACTTTTTTACAGGTAAAACGTAACAGCAATTAAAACGGTTTTAGGAAAATTATTATTTTTCTAATCCTGATGTTTTTATTGTGTCCCCTCAGTGCAGTCAAAGTGGATTTCTTCAGCATTACATACAGGCAATTGGAGAAACTTGTACGTTTTTATAATTTTACTATTTTAAAAGTCTGATAGGAACTGTGAAAAACTATTGCTAACAAAAATTTTGCTACTATTATTACATTAATTTTTTTTCTTCTAGTTTTTAATTATATATATGTTATTTTTATATATGTTATAATGTTACAGAATCCTCGAAAATATTTGTGCTTGTCATTTTTCAGGGTTTGTAAAGAAATCTTGGTAGTACTTTTCTAGCACAGTAATTGCATCATAACTGGGATTGCAAGGGATTTATTGCTTTGCCATTTCCATAATATTACCATTAAAATACTAATCATAAAATCATAAAATACTAAACATTGACTCTTTAAGCCAAGTCATAATGTTGTTACATCCTCAAAAACATACCTGCAGTTGTGTATTGTTTCATTCACACGTTTGAATAATCTTTTATTATTAGTATTAGTAGTCTACATCTCCAAAGGTCAAAATGCTCTGTTCTACCTTCAGATTTCATGAAGCAGTAGTTTTCAAGTTAACATCTACCTTTTACCGTTAGTTCAGTAGAGACTTGAAATCCCAAGGCTGAAATCATCCAAATGATATGGATTTTAAAAACACAGTTGAGCACTTCTTGTATTACTACATGACATCACAAGGTGGAGCAGAGAGTTTTCTGTTTGAGAGCCTAGAATACTGTATGTGCAGGGTTTGTGTTAAACACATGTGTGAATGGAACAAAACAACACCAGGTGTGTTTCTGATGTGGAAAACATTAATATAAATCAGAAAATAGCATAAAATAGTCCCTTTAAGTAGAATTACATGCGTCTTGTTTCCATGAATAATCACCATGTAATTACCTCAATAACACTATAGTTACCATACCATTTCCATTTCCCGCTCTACCACAGTGTTGTTGTTTCTTGCAGGTAGCAGATGATGTGAACGTGGCCATGGAGCGTGTGTGTGGGACTCTGGAGCAGGAGACCTCCAGACTGTCCCAGACCATGGGAGAGACTATCTTTGAACTCTTCACGTCCCTAAAGATCCTCAAAGGCTTTCGCGAGTTTTTGCCTCTCAAGTGGGTCCCTCTCTCTGCACCTTTAATCACTGCAGTTTCAAAAGTCATCTGCAGTCGTTATTTGTGTGAAATGTCAGAGAGGATATGAGGATATTGAAGATAAAGTTTGGAGTTTGATTGAAAAAAGTCTTGTGCTCTTTTTCAACAGAGATGCAAAGATGTTGGCCCTGACTGGATTTCACAACTGGTTTAAGTCGTCCATTCATAAGTGGCTGCAGATAGTTCACGACAGGTCATGTGACAGGATCTGCAAGGCTGTGGACACGGACAAGGTGAGACACAAACATTATATACAGTACAAGAATGCACGCATGTATTATGTTTTAGGACTGCTCTTCAGTAGCATCAAAACTTTACATGTGTTGATGTAAATGATAATTCATAATGTATGATCGAAAAATATGCATACTTAACTACTATCCATGAGAATGATGAAAAATTAGGACCTTTGCAATAGTGATTTGCTTTTTAAAATTAAATATTATATCTTTTGAATGACATAAAAGTCTTCAATCCATCCATCCTTCCATCCATTTTCTTCCACTTATCTGGGGCCAGGCAGCAGGCGGGGCAATCTAAGTAGAGACTCTCAGACTTCCCTCTTCCCAGACCCTCCCTCAGGTTCTCTCATGGGACCCCAAACCTAGAGACATAGTCCCTTCAGCATGTCCTGGGTCTTCCCTGGGGTCTCCTCCCAGTCCTCAAAAGGTTGTGAATTATTGGAAGTTAGTTGAAACTCATGAATACACACAACTGACAGACTTTTGGGGCACTTATTTACTTCTAGAGATAATGTGAATATTGCATTTATTTCTATCCTAATTACCATATGGTACTGAACATTGAATTTGTTAGAGAAATTCCATTTTGGTTCTGTGTCTAGGGCTCTTACTACCACCTCAGTCTTTGTTGTTTTGGCCTATGTCATCAGAGGTATAATAATCCAGTGGAAGCATAGACTGGACTGCACTAGACTCGATTGAACAACACTGTCATAATGTCATGAGGGTTCATGGCTCTGGGTGCTAGGTCTGATCAGATAAACTTATGTAGAATGCTGAGTACTATTTAGATTGGCCTTGACTAATTCAGCTCTGTGTTTGCAGAGGGTAGAAAGGAGTTTCTATTGATTTCCCATAATAAGACTACAAAAAAGTTAAAGCCAAACATGTCTAAGCATTATACCATTATAAAAAAAACAGTGCATCAGTGGGTCAAGAGGGTGATCCATTATTCCATTATATTCCTCCTCCTGTTCCAGCTGGAGCCATTGGGACAGGCTAAGCACAGCTCATCGGCCGTGGAGGTGGCTCTGTGCTTCGCTCAGGTCAGAGAGATGTGGCAGCAGCTGTCCTGGCCCGACTCCGCTGGGGCGTTCATCTTCATCACCAGACTGACGGACGTGAGTAACCTCCTCACATCATCATCATTGCACCACAGATTAAGTGTCCTCACCTCTGGGACTGACCAAACGCCCTGTGAATCCTACTATTTTCCCGCTATGAGATAATACGTCAATACAATAGCACCTGGGAGTTAAAGAGGTTCGTAGGGGCTCAAAGAAAGGCTACAGTAAAGATCACATAACTGTAGTGAAAGGGTTAAAGGGCCTGTACCAGATTGTATTTGAGCACAGTTGCCCAGTATAGCTATATTATATAAGCATCTATTGAAGTAAGAATATGTCTTACTTCAATGGCAGAATTATTCTATTGTCTGATAAGCAGGAAGTATGAGTTACAATGTTAGCTGTTGTTAGCTTTACCATCATGGTAAAACTCAGCTCTCATCACTGAGAGTTGTGAAAAGTGTTTATAGATTCTCCTATATATTACAGTAAACACACATGGCTTTAAAAATACAGATCACAGTTGCTACACTCACGTAGTAGAGTTTAGAGATATTATTAACATAACTGTGTTATTGTTGCTATAACTTTTAAGACATTTTACTCACAAACCACCATAATCATCCTGTTGTATATATAGAAATTGTCCTATATCTTACTATCTTACAGAATTTCTGCAGCGAGGCCGTGTGTTACTCTGAGATGATGACCCGTAAGATTGAAAGGAGCCAGCTGGGCCGGGACCACAAGAGCTTCACAGTGCAGGTAACGCCTTTAGCCAACGCGACACCGGGAGGAGGGGGGTGAGCATGATGACGCCAAAACATAAATGTCAGCGAGTGTCCTCCCAGGCAACACAGAGACCACAGCAGGCGATGGGCGAGAGATGATAGGTGCAAACAAACACAAACAAAACAGAAACAGGGCTTGTTAGCACACAGTGGGAGGAGAAGTGCTGCTCTGAGCTGAAGAAGCAAATAAAGAGATAAAAAGCATTAAAGATGTCATGAATGGCTGTTTATGCTAAGTTACTCATTAAAGGAAATAAAGGAGAATAAAGTAAGATGACTGATCTACCCTTAGGTTTGTTTAAAAAAAATAAACATTTCAAGGTGCACTGTGGAACTATGGAAGGTCTGCCATATCCTTGAGGCTGTGGAGCTGTTCCACAGTATTAAACTTATTTAGTATATTTTTACAGGTGTTGTTAATGCTAAAAAAAAAAAAAAAACTAAAAAAAAAAAAAAAAACCAAAAACATGCATTTTTATTGTGAGCAGGGTCGCCTCTCCACAGACATGACGCATTGTATTCACAGCAACAAGCAGCCCGCAGACCCTCCACCACAAAATACACAGTGCACCTTTAGATGCTTAGATATGGTTTACTAGTATTCTAAAACCCTGTTTGGTAAGCTGGAGCAAAGTCCAAATAATAAAGAAGAAAAGTGGGGGAAGAGAAGTACAGTAACATACAATGTAATTTTTGTTTATATATTTGAGGAATAAAATTTGAGTGAAACAGCTGGAGCTACCATATTGTTTTTCCTACCTGATGTCACTTATTCCAAGATAAATTATTTGTCATTGCAGTAAGAAAATGGCCCTTAATATTACACACATAATTTCTCACTTTAGTTTTGCTCTACTGATGCATATACTTGGAGACATCACAAAAGAAAGCTGCACTAAAAGATTGTTATATTCATATTCATGCAAACATGTAGGCCTGTCACAATGACGAAGCGGGGCAGAGATGGCTGGGTTGAGGCTATAGGTGGGGACTCTGTCTCAATCTTCAATTGGCCCAGCCGGAACGGGACCCTCCTTGTAGGGGTCTTATGACTGAAAGACAAAATAGGGGATGGGAGGGTGGGGTCAAGTTCACCGAGACAAACTGGGATGATGGGAAAGGCTGCTACATGTAGGCTTCTGGGAAATTAGAGGCGTGGTCGAGGTGAGTTGAGGTTCGCTGGTGAGAGGAGAGGGCGGCTGAGGCGTGGTCATGAGCTGCTATAAATAAACAGCAGAATGAAACACTTTAGTAGTTAAGTTTGCATCTGTAATGAGTCATAGAAGTTATTTAATTATACCTTTTACGGCTTAAATCTTATCTTATCTGTATTGGCAAAAAATAAACAAAAATTTTCCAGTGTTGCAGAGAAAAGATGATAACTATTGACGCCCAAAAAATATTGTTCCAGCTATCACATATTGAACGCTAAGTCTATATAGTAATTATCATCACCAGCCTACATACATGTAACTCTGTGCATCCATTCCTGCTTCTATAGCCCTGCTGCTTTTCCTCTACCACTTCTCCATCTTCTCCTTTGTTTCTGCTCTTGCTCTCGACTTTCTGCTCAGCTCTGCATCGCCTTGAACAGTATGGAGCACGTCAGGGTGTTTCTGGGTCACCTGCCGCGGGACCTGGACTGGAGCGGGGTGGAGCGAGCCATGGAGGAGAGCTGTGGGACGGAGGGGAAGGAGCAGGTCTATAAGGCTCTGAACGGACAGCTCTACAACATGGACCTGGACCTGCAGAGGGAGGCCAAAAGACTCATCTCTGTGCTAACTGACAAGGTACGCTTTAACATTCCCTGGGGTTATGATGCTCACTGTAAGCACTGCTCTCTCTGAAGCTCTGTTGATCAAATTAGACTTTAATCTGAGCTTTTACTTAACACAATCTGACCAGAAAGAGCTGACTTAGTTGGAGCTACCACAAGAGAGCTGATTTGTGTTAAACAAGTCTCTCAAAACTCAGTCACTCTAGACTACAATAGAGTTGATTATTTAAATGACAATTTCTAGATAAAAATGTATATATTAACTGCACAGCCCCAATTGGAAAGTGCCAAAATACTGATACTGAAACTATTATTGAAACTTGTAGGTAATGTACTTGAATTAGCAACAAAACTGGACAAATCAAATAATTATTTAGCTCAAAGTTTGAGCTTTTTTGAATAGTTTTAGAATCTAGTATGTAAGTATAAGGCCATGTTGTAATATTATTGAAAGCTTTTTGTTATTATTGTTGTTTTATTGCAATAGGTATTGAGGATCAAACCTTTTCCTAAATATCAGAATAGATTTTTTTTTTCTTTTTTCTAACCCTTCACCCTCCTTGCGTATGTATAATGTGGTGTGTGTGTGCACGCGTGCGTGCGTGTGAGTAGCAGATTGCATCCTATAATAACATCAGTTGATATGCAACTGTGCATGTACCTCAGTGTGAACCATAGATATTTTTTTACTTTCATTACTATTTTATTTTCTTGGTTTAAAGTGCAACCATATGGCCCTTATATATGGCCCTTATGATTGGTATTTGTTATTATATGTAGGGTATTTATACTATTTATGCTTTTTATTCACATTTTCAATATATATCATATCATAATTTTCTAAGTATGCAGCTAAACAGTGACTAATTTGAGTGACTGACATCTTTCTTTTCAGATGCTGCCGGAGCTGCGGAGGTACATCCAGCACATAAGCCTGTCTCCAGACTCCATCAACAATGACGAGGTGAGACCCCGAGACCACTCATGGGTTTATCTGTTAAAGTCATTCATCCGATCAATACATGCCATCAGAGTTTTGACGTGTGGTAATGATTTTTCTAGGCTGTGTCTCCTCTTATGAAGTATCTACAGGACACTATGAACATCCTGACTGACAACCTGGTTAAGGAGAATCTGACAAGGTAATGTAATATAGTCTAGATTTATTTGTGATATGTCAACAAAATGTAAACAAACATGTTCTAATTTAAAGGGCTACTGTTTTATTACGCTATTTTCTGATCTATTACAAGCATACCTGGAGTTGTGGTTTTTTTTGTTTTTTTTTTTTTCATTTAAAAATGTTTAACACACAAACCCTGCATATTTAGTTCTTCTTTCAAACTGATAACAGTTCCACCTTGTGATGTCATGTGGTAATATAGGAAGTGCTTCACTGAGTTTTTAAATGCCATACACCTTCACTAGTATAACTTGGATATTTTCAGCCCTGGAATTGCACATACCCATTGAACTAAAGGTAAAAAGTAGCTGTTAACTTGAAAAATGCCAATTAATGACATCACAAGGTGGAACAGAGAATTTTGAGCTTTTGAGATAAATAAAAGAAAATAAAAGATTCCTGAAACATGTGTGAATGAAACAAAACACAAATCATCTGTGTTTTTAAGCTCACAAGAGACAGTTTTGTGTAATATAGCACCTGTAAGGCCTTATTGTATTATATTTATTAATACACTGTAAACTTATTATATTCAGTATTCCTTTTTCCCAAGGTACATAAAAAGCTATGGTGGATTTCACATTTTTACGCAAATCCGCCCACTCCACTCCATCATTATTTCAGCAACTTTTTTTATTTTATTTTACCATCTTCATGCTTCCTGGTCTTGCAATGGAGCTCAACAGTGACCGCCCACACTCTGCTTCCGGAAGTACACAAAATTTCTTATTTATTTTTCCCATAGACCTCCAAAAAAAATAATATAATAAAAAGTTTGAATGTTTGCTCAGGCATAAACAGCTACATAGTGACTAATAAGCATAAGACCTATAATTTATTTTAGAATCTGTTTCTGAAACTTTATAACCCACAAAGTTATGAAAGCATTTCACTGAATATTGTGTTTTAAATGAGCTTTATGTATATTAGTTACCACATAGCTGGTTAACATCTGCAATGTCTGTGAAGTCTTGAATATTTGAAATTTTCAAAAAGTCTATGGGAAAAATGAATGGAAAATTTAAACATTGAAGCGGAGCAAGCATTTGGCTCTAGTGAAATGACGCTCACAATTCTAGTGGTTACAGGTGCGAATTTGAAGCCAGTTCCATATTAGGAAGAGGAAATTATTTAAGGACAAAAAAGTGAAATAAAAACACCAGGATCATATAGAGCGGGTTAGTACAAACATTTTAAAACCAAAATGACGAGGTTCACTGCTGCAGTTACAGACAGAGGGGGACACTTTTCCAAAGTAAAGTCGATAGAGCCTGAAGCGCTCCCATGCACACATCCTAGTTTTAATGTGGCTGCTAGTGGGTTAGCTATGTCCATTTATACATATATACTGCCTATACAGCTTCATGTTTATATTGCATAATGTTGATTAAGCGAGCCATTGTAATTTATCACTGCATATGCAGTTATTTTTTGTTTTGTTTAGAGCTGTTTGTACTTGGTGTATAAGTGTTAATGAATAACTTCCTTCACACATTTTGTCCTCATGATGAAAATTTGTATAAATAAATAGCCTCATGGGATTTTTTTTCATCTTTGTACAACTGCCAAGTGAAGAGCTATTTCAAATTTAGCTTGTCCATAACAATTTCCTGTATATAATGTTCCATAGAATAAAGCATTATCTGAGGTCTATTCTGAGATCTCATTCTTGTTCATTCAAAGGTGCATTGTGTAACTTTCTACATCACCACCATGAAGATATAGTTGTTTTACCTGGAATTTTTCACAGTATGATATTAAATGTATCTATTTCCATGGAGACAAACACTGAGCCAATCTACAGGTCCGATTTATGGAGAGGCGGGTCCACTTACAATAGAATGCATATTTTTCAAGGTTTTGCTTTATTGTAAAACAAAACAAAACAAAACCACCTATAATTAAAAAATAAGCAAGTTCAATGCCATACTGTGGTATATTCCAAGGAAAGCAATCTCCATGGACACAATACAGTGCACCTTTAACCCTCAGTTTGGTCTTGCAGGGTGCTTCAAGGCATGTGGGAGCTGCTGCTGAGAATGATCCTGGATGCAGTGACTGAAAACAGAGGGGTCCAAATAGAGTTTTACAATCGCTTTCAATACACTGTTGAGGTTAGTAGTGAAATCTTTTAAATATCCAGGTGGGTTACATACATGATAGAGATGCGCGGATGGGCTATTTTTTCATCCGGAACCGCGATACAAAACTCATCATCCGCCCGCTGTCCATTTTGCACCGAAGGTTTTCAAAACCGCATCTGCCCGCCATCCACCGATTGATTTTAGATTTTAGCACAATCATACAGCAAACAAACTAAGGAGCCTCGATAAAAATGCAAACTATAGCTCATTCATTCCAAAATTCGCTCAGCGTGTATGTTCGCATTCTTAATTGTCAGAGTCGGCGTCAGAGCACATCTACTGGAGGGGCATGGGTCACCAGCAGGGGGGCACTGCCATTTGAGAAATATTTTAACACGGTGGAGTCATACACAGCAGACATGCTATCAAACACGTTTTTCTTTAACAGTATTAGGCTAATTATGTGTTGTTATTATAATCATTATTATATAAAGATTATTATTATTATTAGCTGCAATAGTTGTTGAGGCTGTGTGGTAGACGATAGGCACACAAGACAATAATAAAAGGTTGAGGTTTATTAAAAAACAGTAAGTCCTGCCACTGGTTGTAAACATTAAACAACAGCCTCTCATCAAAAACACCACTGAACTAGAAATAGCCACGCATCGGACAGCACCAGGGCTGTAGTGAACTACGCGAGTCGCCGTCCAGTCCTGTCCTATAGAGACCTGAGACTTGAGGGACCGGGACTAAACCAGGACTAAACCAGGACTAAACCAGGACTAAACCAGGACTAAACCAGGACTAAACCAGGACCAGTGGCGGCTGATGGTATAATTTTTGGGAGGGGCACCAAGGGCAAAATATATATATATATATATATAATATATATATATATATATATATATATATATATATATATATATATATATATATATATATATATATATATATATATATATATATATATATATATATATATATATATATATATATATATATATATATATATATATATATATATATATATATATATATATATATATATATATATATATATATATATATATATATATATATATATATATATATATATATATATATATATATATATATATATATATATATATATAATATATATAGGCTGTAGTATTATAACAAATACCAGAAACAGACATTTTGGTTAGTATTGGCTGAACAGTATCGATCAGAGCACAATGAACAGCCAAGCGCAAACTTTATGCAACAACACAGCGTAACACGCCGCTCACACCCAAACCCAAACCCAACAACGTCAGTAAAACTGTAATAAGAGACATGAACACAGATGCCGCTCCTACAGCACACGACAGAACAACCAGAGCAGCTCCATCGCACCCACCAGCTCATTCACGCACTATTAACTATTAACACTATAAAACTATTTACCTGTGAGGCTCCAAGTTTAGATTTGCCGCAAACTAATGAAAACCAGCCTCTTACCTTCTCCAGAGACTGAAGCAGAATGTTTCCTCTGTCCACTGTCCCACTGGTTCTGTTTCCAAAAGTCTATTGTCCAATATGAAGAGATGAAACTGGTCCGTGACGCGAGGTCCAGGAGCCGAGTGCACGAGCGGTTGCAAAATTAGTCTTAATCCCACTTCCCACTTAAATCTGAAAGTTACGGTCAGTCCATATCAGCACCAGGACACCAGGTAGAATTATGCCTCTGCGCGCTATGCTCAGGTCAAACTTTTACACCCAGAAACGAGCGGGCAAAGGCGGATAGAGCAGCGAGCGACTGCCCTGGCCCCGGCGGCGGCAGCGAGAGTCCCTGCGGCTACTGCCCCGAGTCCGGGCGGCGACAGTCCCGGGTCCCAGCGGCGACAGTCCCGGGTCCCGGCGGCGACAGTCCCGGGTCCCGGCGGCGGGTCTGTCAGTGTGTCTTTGACTCTGTTCTCGCCATTTCCTGTGTGGAGCTTTAGGCTAAAGTAGCAGCTGCCGCTAATCGTGGAGCTGCTACGAGTTGACGCAGCAGGTTGACGTGACGTGACGTGAGTGACAGGACAGTTGTCCAATCACACGACACTAAATAAACAGAGACTGTGATGTCATTGATGTCACAGTAAAGTTTGTGCCCTCGGCCAGAAGTGAAATGCGTCAATCAAAATTATTTTAAAATAGTAATAATAACGGCCTGTTGGGGGGTGGGGCACGGCCCTCAAATGCCCCACCTTGCCGCCGACACAGTTAATTGTCCGTAACAACCCCAAACTTACCTGGTTTTCTTGCGCAGCTAATTAGCTGACAACGTTTTCCGACTAGGCTATTTTTGAACCTTCTTGCCTTCGTGTTGGATGTTGTTACATTCTGAACATTCTGCCATTGCCCGATGTTATTTCAAAGTCATAGCCTCACTCCATCGGTCTTTCTTTAAGTTTTAAATCCCCCGAGTGGCAGTCTACGCTATAATGTCTGCGTGTTTTAAAATATATCTGATATCGAAACAAAACAAAAAAATGCATAACTAAATAAATATGGCCCTATAGCCACTTACGTGTTGGCAAACAGCTGAAATAAATTAGAAATAATAAAATAAACTGCATATAATATGTGCCTCGTAAACCTTAGGCTGTCAATAACCCGACACAACCTTAACCTTCAGAACATAAAAACGAGGTCAAATGGGCTAATTAAGGATATGACGTACACTTCATACTACAAGCATAGACAATGAGACTCGTCTTTTCAGATGTAGGTAACAATACTAACAATAACTTTTTTTTTTTTTTTTTTTTTTTTTTTTTTTAGTAGTTAAACCGCCACCCGCCCGAATTTAATTAAAATATAATTTTTCGTCACGTCATCCGCCCGACCCGCGGATTAACCGCGGAAACCGCGGTTGTAACCGCAATCTGCGCATCTCTAATACATGAAATTGTACTTTTCTAACAATAGACTTTTAATCCTACTTGAGTAAAGTACTTGAGAATTTAGGTAAAAGTACTCTTACTTCCCTCATGATTTGAACAGTTGTGTTTCTTATATTGCTCCTTCTGATATGATTTAGTTTGTCCCATTTTTGTGTATATTCTTTAAAAATACCAGCTTTTGTGCATTTGTTAATATCTTTAAATGCTTAGCACTACTTTTTACTTCTACTTGAATAATATTATTTTAAAGTAACGTTACTTGAGTACAATTTTTGACTATGTTACCCACCTCTGGAAATATCCTACATTAACGTATGTTTTTTTTTTCATAGCTGTGAAGTGGTAGAGTGTAGATTTGAATGAATGCATGTCAGGCCATCATCACTACTGTTGCCATCACCTTTAATTAGAGCAGAATGAGCTTTGCTGCTGTTCAAGTTGTTAGCATACATCAGATATTTATGAAGCAACTAGGAAGCACACCTCGTGAATAACAATGCACTATAAATGTCTTCTGTATATGCTAATGCTATATAGACCAGCTGGACAAGATGGTGGCAGATTTTCAGGAAAAAGTCAAGCCATGCTAAATGTGTGGGCCGAGTGTGAAAGCAACCTTGAGACAGACTTGAGTTCCTGCTGTTTGTGTGAAAATGTATTGATCCTTTTTCTTTTTTTCTTTTACTTTTCACTCGAATGATTAGACACTGCTGCAGTTCTTTCATTCCAGTGGAGAAGGGCTCACTGTGGACGATATGAAGAGCGGAGATTTCAAGGTACAGCTGCTATACAAGCTGGCAGTTTAACTGTGTCATGTGTGTCAGGCATAACATTATAATGATTAAATACGAGGGCTGCTGAGGTGTGTGGTGAGAAATATATTTACTGTACATCATCGTGGCAGCTGTTAGAGCTTAGATTAAGTAAACAACAAGTGTTTTTTTGTTTGTTTGTTTGTTTTTTTTTAATTCTTAAGCTTCTTTCGTGAGATTTAAAGCTTTTAAAACACCCTTTTTCTTCTCTATACTTAGACTTAAACAAACTTTATTCATCCACAAGGGAAATTATTTGGACACAGTACCTCACACATCTCAACATTATAATAACAAAGAACAAAAATATAAATAGTATTAATAAATTCAAAATATGGAGCAAAAATAGCAAGAGACTGGTGCATAATTATGTAAATGTATATGTACAAGTAAAAATAAAATATAGAAATATAGTAATACCAATCTATCTCAGCTGTATACAAGAGGTTGTTTTGGTCCTATCCCTTTTCACATTAATATTTTAGAAGCATGAATAGAAAAAAATCATTATTAATAGGTGTTATTAATAATTCCTTTCTCTGTGGAGTTTGCATGTTTTTCTGGTTCCTGGTTGGGTTTTTAAAATTTAATTTGGTTTTCTCATATCAACCCAAAGCCTAAAAAAACAAAATTTATTTCTTACTATGAACCTAGACCTCGATCTGGAAAGGGGCCCTAGGCACTGCACTGAGGTCGACAGTATTACTTGGTCTAAATACAAAAATTTATTTGATTTTAAAATATTATTTGACCCTACTAAAATAAAAATTCCAAACACCTGAAAAACTATGAAGAGAAAACTACAAACTTGTACCTTAGTGTTTAAATTTTGTTAATTTGCTGAGAAGTAGTTGTTGTGAAAATATAATGCTTAACACTGTATGAAATCTTATCAGGTGTATTTGTTGTTGTTCTTATAGGCTCTGGAGGAGGAGCTGAAGCTGAACAAGTGCTCGTCCTTTGAGCTGATCGAACAGTACTATCTGGAGAAGATTTCTCATCAGGTGAGTTTGGATCCACAGGCAAATATTGATCTGGACACATCTGTTCTTCTGTTGTCTAAGCTGCATTTGGACAATTCAGTGCTATGACAGATTTTTTTAACAAGTCTCCCAAGGAATGTCTCCTGTCCAGCTATTTGGTATTCAGCTATTAAAAGACAAAACAAGCTTCACATTACATTGTACATAAGATAAAGTTCAATGTACAAAGGTGAGTCAGAGCTGTCAGCATCTAGAATGTGAGAAGTGCGAGATTTCATGTTAATATCCTAATATTTCATGTTGCTCAAATAAATGAACTGAACTGAAAACTGAACTAGTTATGTATGCACAAAAACATTTGACATTAAAAATTAGAAAAACAATTATTTGCAATGACTCATAGATGAAACAAGGATAAACCAAGTTGAATATATATTTCTTTGCAAACAGCGGATGCATTAGAGCATCAAAGATAATATGACCTGATTCATGAGAACATAAGTCTGGTCAGGTCACTTATTAAATGCTTTCAGCTCATCTAAATTAGCTAAAAGCAATCAATTAGGGCTAATTAGATGTGAAATCTTTGAAATAGCCAAAGGTTGGTTACATACAAGAAATTGTACTTTCCAAAGTACCTCTCTAACAGCATACTTTTACTCCTACTACTCCTACTGCTCTTACTTGAGTAAAAAGTTTTGTGTTCCTTGTACTGCTCTTTCTGATATGATTTAGTTTGTCTCATGTTTGTGTCTGTCCTTTGAAAATACCATTGTGCATTATTTAAAATGTTGTCTTTGCAATTGCACTTTAAATTATAAATCAGATGTTGTGTCCCTTTTTAAGTTACTCTTACTTGAGTAATAGATTTCCAGTATAAATTTTTACCACTACTTTGTACTTCTACTAGTCATATTATTTTAAAGTATCGTTAGTAGTAGTTAGTAAAGTAACTTGAGTTCAATTTCTCACTACTTTACCCACCTCAGGAAATATTCTATTTTATTCTATTTTCTTTATAGCTGTGAAGTGGTACAGTTTAGATTTGAATGATTGCATGTCACTCCATCATCACTAAGGCTGGGCTCAGGTCACTCATTAAATACTTCCATTGTATTTCATCTAAATTCACTAAAGGGGACTGATTAGGGCTAATTAGTTGTACAATTCAATAGCCTATACATACCAAAGGATATATGAAATACTGTATTGTTGTAGTTTTTAACCAGGTTTAGTCTATTTCAGAAAACACTCAAGCACACTCGATTTGGACGCATCAGTGTCAAGTGCTACTACGATGCTTCAGAGCAGAGACTGACAGTGGAGATCCTTCATGCTGCTGATATTCTTGCACTAGATGCCAATGGTAAAAACCCTTCTGTAATTTTAACATGTGCAGAGTTATTTTTTCACATTTAAATTTCTAAATATTCAGTTTATTATATATTTGTGTTTTAGGTTTGAGTGATCCGTTTGTCATCGTGGAACTCTGCCCTCATCATCTTTTCCCTTTGGCCAAGAGCCAGCGCACACAAGTCAAACTCAAAACACTACACCCTGTTTTCGATGAGCTATTTTACTTGTAAGTCTAGCTGTTTACTCTTCCTGTTCGGAGTGGGTTGTTTCTACTGGATATTGTATAAAAAATTTACCCTAATCAACATTTAACCTATTGAAACTACATAATCAAATAATAGTACATTAGATCTTTACTTCTAGAGTAGTGGAGTAGAGTAGTTTTAGAATAGTCTTCATTGACAAGGTAGTATACATACAGTATACAAACTACGTAATGACATTAAAGGGCCAATAAGAGCTATTTTCTGATCTACGTTATAATATTTCCTCATCAAAAACATACCCAGAGGTGTGTTTTGTTTCAATCGCACATAACACACAACCCTGCATATTTAAGATGTTTTCTTCAAAGTGAAAACACCTTGTTCCCCCTTGTGATGTGATTTGGATAATTTCAGATCTGGTATTGCCAATCTCTGCTGAAGAAAAGGTAAAAGGTGGCTGTTAACATGAAAACATCACTTCATGACATCACAAACTGGAACAGAGAATTCTGATCTTTTGAGATGTAGACGGACGAATAATCCAGGATTACGCAAATGTGTGAATGAAATAAAACACAACCCTAGGTATATTTCTGAGGAGGTAACAACAGTCTGACACTACTTAAAACTGACTCAAAGTAAATTTTCCGTAATGTAGGACCTTTAAAGAAACAAATACTTTTTTTGCTGAAAATGCCATTGTATAAAAATGTGTGGTATCAAAATCAGTATTGAGCCTTTTCCTTAGTATTAAAATAGAGTTTGAAATTTCTGCTACATGACACCTCTCATTGAATATGTCTTTATTTCTAGCCACGTCAGTCCAGAGCAGTACCGACACAGATTTGCCTGTCTAACCTTCACTGTGATGGACTATGACTGGTTGTCCACTAATGACTTTGCTGGCGAGGCTGTGGCTCCTCTGAGTGACTTCTGCTGGCCGGGCCGACCCAACGCCTCAGCGCAGGGCAAGAACGTGCAGCCCATCATCCTGCATTTGTCCCGCAGCAAACCCAGCGGTACATGAAACTAATGTTAACTACAGGGTGTACCACAAGGAGCAGGCAATGCACTTCAAATGTTGCTGGTTTACTAGGTATAGTTTTGCATGAAAATAGAGGAAAATGAAAACCTGGAAATGCCCACAAAAACACTGTTAGGGTAAGAATAATGAAATACAAGTAAATAAGTATAATAAGGTAACAGTATTGACATATACTTTATCGCTCCTAAGTCACTCGTCCTCTAATTTGCAAAGATAGCATGTTTTTCAATATGCTACAAACATTATATGTATGGTTTTAGCCTCCAGAAAGTTAGTGTTGCTTTAAACAAAAAGTTTCATGCCCATAATTGTTACATGTGCCTTTAAAACACTGAGTAAATGTAATAATTCTCTGTCCGTCTCACACTAGACTCATGTTACATATCACCTTGAGCCATAGCTGCTGTTTTCTCTCATTTTCAATATTGCCTCGGAGTACCACAGGGCATAGATCTTGGTCCTATATTCTTCTCTCTGTAATACAACATAGACAGCCTTTCAATCGTGCTTTATTTGTGTCAGGCGCTGTGACCGGTCTCATCTGTTTGCTCTCCCCTCCAGAGAAGCCAATCATGAGGATGTTGGACGCGCGCATCGGAGATAGAGAAGCCCAGGAGTTTGTCCGCAGGCTGAAGGAGATCGAGAAATCAATGGAGAACGAAGAGTGAGGATCTGACACAATGTTTCCAGACCCGTCTTGACACATGTGCTTTTGTACTGGTATCCTGTTTACAGTATTTCACACTTTTTCAATGTTGTTTGTTCAGTATCTTTACCAAAATTTAAAAAAACACAGAGCTTTTTCCTATTACATCCTGCCACTGTGCAAACTGTCTAACTACTATATTTTACAGGTTTATAAATTAAGCTAATTGTTATCTGTCTATATTTTTTGTATTGTTATCTTTGTTGTATAATCTTTGATATGATAGAACTATTTTGTGAAAGTAGCGTACATATAGTATTCATTTAGACTTGATACCTCAGATTAGTTGCAGGATACAAACATTTATGTGGAGTTAACGCATGACAAGTTTCTATAAAGCTCATAAATTTCACCTGGAAATCCAAAAGACAACACAGAAGTCTGGAGGGAGGTAGAAGCGTGTGAAAGTTGGTGTTTTTTAATATCAGTCAGACAGAGGAGCGCCGCACCTTCCCCAGAGGATGGTTCAGGTTCATTCAGTTTCTCAGATTACTCTTCACTTGGTTCAACAGGTCGATCGGTAAAGGCCAAAACTGTGCGAGCAATTCTCTTAACTCCATTCCTCTCTTTGTTACCAGTTGTTGAGTTGAAGCTTCAAAGAAAAAGGGATTTTTACAGAAATCACACACTGAGAAAACACAAAATGATATTGGAAAATTATTTGGTTTTAACACAATATTCTATAGCTCCAGTACATTGTTTATATTTTAATTATTATGGCTTACAACTAGGAATGTTCAGTGTTACAGTTATTCTGAGAATAAATATCACAATTTTATTATGATCCACAATTTTTGACAATAGGTATTAATAATAGTGAAATCTTTAATTAATTTTCATTCAGATTGTTGAATAAATTACTATCCTTCTAGTATGTGATCATCTTTATAAAATCAAAATGATAATGTGACATAAACAGACAGAAAAGTATTTTCTTAGGTTTAGATTTTTAAGTGTTTTCTTTCTCTTTTGCTGTTGAAATTATGGCTATGCTCAGACATAATAGGAGTCCCAACTTCTGTATCATTGCGGTATTGAAATCTAGTCAGTAGGTCACAATATACCAATCAATTAGTTGACATTTCTTCATTAAAAATCAGCCCTTCACATTCTGACCCATCCCTCAATGCCACTGAGGCAACCTGTCAGGAGCAGTGTGCACCACAGGGATCCATGCTCATGATCTTGTTGGGATGGTCACATCATTGTAGGTGTGGTCACAGTTACCATAGCTGGAGGGTTTTTCCCTATTGTGCATGTTTTTGGTGTTGATGGAAAAAACTGCAGTGCCTCTCAGAAACCCACTTGGGCACAGAAATTTCCAAAGGCCACACAGACCAGGGCGAATCAAACATGGAATCGTCTTGCTGTGGAGAATGCTAGTCTCTCAGCCACCCTATTCTCTCTCAGTCTACTCAAACACACTCTGCTACAATTTTCTATCACTATTACATGTTTCTGGCAACCTTTTCTTTCTTAGTGTACTTTACAGGAAGATGTAGCTTAAGTCTCTGAGCTAATTAAAACCTGGCATGCACAAAAGACACTATTCTGCTCAGTGGGATTCCTATGCCCGGGTATCAAAACCTTTATTTGGAGAAACACGTTTGATATGACTAATGAGCTTGTGCCACAGTAAGAAAAGTTTTCAAATGGCCTCTAATGTTTTCTAATGGCCTTTAAAGACAAAAGAGCAGTCTAATGAGGCTGATATAATTATGGAAACTTAAGGGAAAGGGGGGTCCTCTGTCTGACTGCCACGCCAACAATACCTTCTGGCTCTGGGACAAGCATTCAAATTCAAAGCATATTAACTTCAAAGACAGCCTTAATTCTTAGTCAGTTAGTGTCAGAACAGCCATGGAGAGTAAAAGCACACTTTAGATAATTATAGCTTCACCTGATGTACCAAGTGAAATCGATTTGTTGTATATCAGAACATACTTTGATGTAGTTAAATATAGTCCAAAAGATAATTTATTAACAGGAAAAAGGATGAACTTTTAATATTAATTTTAATATTAATAGCAATATCATCATTTCAGACACAGAAAACTGTGTGTTTTATTAAAAAATAAAATTGAACAGTGCACACACAAGGCTCTGTTCATCATAGTATTATTAGGAGTAATATTACCGTCTCTGAGCTTTAGCCGCTATTTGCTCTGCAATAATATTAACTGTTTTTAATTTTTATAAATTTGAAAAAGTTGCAGGCCACATCACTATGACTCAAGTGTGTTGTCGTGCTAAAGGTTGAACCACTTCAAGAAACTTGCAAAAGTGTTAATATACAACGTAATCCTCTAAAGGCCACTGCAGCACTAAAACATGCAATCCAGGTTACGGTGGACTTCTATATTCAGTTGTAGTTATTTTTATTGATTGTCTGGTCATGTTTTACAGGACTTTAAGGGTGCACTGTGCAACTTCTCTGCTCGTCTCCATGGAGATGGTATTTCTTTGCCTGTAATGTTCCACAGTATGCCATTAAAATATCTGTCTAGCATTTATTTCTTTAGGGGTGTTTTTATTGCTCAAAAATGCATTGATAAACCTCCACTCGTACTGTAAGCAGGGTCACATCACTGACCTGTAACTTGGCCTCGTAGTGTCACCTGCTTTTCCCACTGGAGATATGTTTAATTCCATAGTGTGGAACATTCTTCTAGGCCAAGGGTCTCCAACCTTTTTCCTCCACTGAGCTGCTTTTATAAAACAAAAATTCCAGAGAGCTACTAATTTAACGGTCAAAAATTTGGTATATGTAGGAGCTACAGCAAGCCTTAGATGGGGAACAGTTAGATGCCTATAAAACATAATCATAGGTTACTAACCTTTACTGTGGTAACAGGCATTTCATTTATATTCAGCACAATGTTTATAATTCAGAAATCCCTTGGTAAGCTACTTGGAAGGAGGTGGAGAGCCACTTGTAGCTTCCAAGCTACAGGTTGTTCTAGGCAAAGAAATAGGCATCTCTGTGGTGACAAGAAAGGGGCTGACCTTCCACTAGAAAAGTTACACAGAGCAACTTTTACCTTGATACGGACTTAAATCCCAGTATTTCATCCATTACCGTGATTATGCATTATTTAAAACTGGCTCATTTAATTGTGTGTAAAAGACAATGGTTGAGCTTAGCTTCTACTCTGTTGTCACAAATGTAGCTTCAGGTTTTCCTGTTGTAGATGTCAACTTTCGTTTCTACTGAATAAAATCATTTATATGAATATTGCAAGATACAAAAAGCATTTATAAGAGAGGACTTACCACCTGCTGCCGACTTGGCACACTCTTTGTAGAAAACCGCACAATAGTAACAGATGTGTGAAGACGACAACACTGTAGCAAGTGCAGACATTTCTACATAGCACCAAATTGTCACCGACAGCGTCTTGATCGTGATGTATTTTACAGTAGCTGCTTGTGCTGTGCTTTGTCATTATTACTGTGTGAAGTTGTGAGGATGAAGCACTCAAAACACATATCTATGCCTGAGGAGCGTGCTGCAAATAAGGTCACTTCAGGTTTGTCCTTACAGACTCACTCAGACAATTTAATATTTGTGGGACTTTTGAAATTGTTTGCAGTTCTAGGAAAAAAAACTGTTTACTTCAGTGGTTTCAATTCAACATTGTGATATGCACATTGAGCATTGGCTTTGCACCATTGCTAATTCATCTCGAAAACCCTACTACAAAATATCTTGACTTTAAAAATCACTGGCTCCTGTCTGATTATTGGATTCTCCAAACAGATATCTCTTACATTGGCCGAAAGTAGTATTAGTGCAAATGTGTACAAATCTAAGCAAAGTTAATTAATTTTTAGAATTGAAGTACAGAATTAATATATTTCCACATAATAAATTTCTTTACATATGCAAGCAAAAAATACAGTCCTGATTTAATTTGATTGCACAAGGAAAACAACATGTATTTATTGCCTATTATTGATGTAAGTTAAGTGAAGTTATGGTAAAGTATTGTTTTATTATACTGCACTGTAAAATAGAAAACCATGATAAAAGTAAACAGACTGTGAATTACTACAATGCGCATATATATATATACACATACATACACACACACACACACACACACACTATAGACTTTATAGTGTTTGATATATGTCCAAATTTTAAGGCTAGTAACAAGTAGCTTTGAGAGGTGAAAATAATTATTTGTTATCGTACCAGTGGAATATTGTCCTTTAGGCTCACTGTACTGCCTGTGTTAATGTTTACTACATGGATTATCTCTGAGAGCTGTCTATGACCTATTGACCTTGAATAAAGATTTATTAAAATTTGCATTGGCTCTTCACCTGCTTTCATAATAATTTGATTTTATTTATGTTTTTATAGACCTATAGCCTAGGCCTAATGTGTGTGCCGGCCTAGTTGTATTACCAGCTTCAACCTTCAACTTAGTAGAGGGATAACAGACCGTTACATTAATCATCATATGATTCATACTTGTATTAACTACTCAAGTGCTCCTAATAATTGATATATTTATATAAGGAGGCTAACAGCTGCTGTGCTGCTTCTACTCATTTACAGCAAGTGTAAACACTGCCAGCAGCAAAACAATACCCATGTGTCTATTTATTTCTTTGCTTTTAAGTTGTATATATTGAAAAACATTGTCACTGTGAGCTCGCCGCCTTCTTTCCCTCCACTCTGGTGGTGCCTCTTCTTTTGTCTCCAAGGAGACATGGAGTTTAATACTGTGGAACATTCCAGGTAAAGCAATAGGCTATATCTCCATGGAGACAAGCAAGTGGATAAACACCCCTTAGAGTGCACATTTAAATCCACTGACAATTTTCACCCAAAGTTCAGAAGAGTCTGAATGTGTCACTTGAATCATAGTTAATAGGATCCATGTACAGCCCAGTACCTACAGGCCTATTCTAAAGAAGCCTGGCGCTGATGATGGAGAGAGAGAGGTACAG